GAAGTTGTTGTAATTAGCATAGGGTGTTACATGAATTAATGTGGGAACTGTCATAAAAGAGCCGAGGTGGCGCAGCAGTTAGAGTGCAGTACTGCAGGCCACTTTAGCTGACTGTGTTCAGCAGGTCAGCGGTTCAAATCTCACCGGCTCAAGGTTGACTCAGCCTTCCATCCTTCCCGGGTAGGTAAAATGAGGACCCAGATTGTTGGGGGCAATGTAAATATATATATACATTGCTTACTGGTGTACACTGCTTAGAGAGTGCTTGCACTTAAAGCGGTATATAAGTCTCATAAATAAATAAATAAACAAACTGGAGTCTGGGGCTTGGCCAAATGGTGGGATGGGGGCAAATAGGTTTTGAGGAGGATTTTGTAGATAGAGAATGCTTTAATAATACCCAAATGCTGTAGTATGGTGGAAAGATTAGCTGTTTAATCATAGGAACATGATTGTTAGCAAATTAATAAAATCACGGACAGAATTTAATGCTGAGCTTGTCAGCTAGAGAGCTGACAGCCCAGATTCGAGACCTGAGCTCCGTGCAATAGGGTGAGCTCCCGTTCCTTGCCTCAGCTCTTGCCCATCTAGCAGTTCAAAAGCATGCAAATACAAGTAGATAAATAGGTACAACTTCAGTGGGAATGTAACAGTGTTCTGTACCCCTTTGGCATGTAGCCATGCTAGCCACATAACCACAAAAAATGTCTTCGGACAACGCTGCCTCCCTTGGCTAAGAAACGGCTGAGATAAACACCGTTCCATAGAGTCGGACATGACTGATAGGGAAACCTTTATCTTTACTTTACCTAGTCCTAGTGGATCCTTCAAGTGTTCAAAGTGTTTCATCCAGATTACTTTAGCAATCCTTTACATAACGTTCATAGAAGGCAAGCCAATACTGTTATATACTGATTGCAAATCAAAAGAATGGAGGGCATGGAGGCCACTGTTGAGTCAGTCTTTGGGGCATATTGAATTAGGACTTCTGAGTATTTTGGTCCTAGCATTTTGTTTGTGTGTAACAGAAGCCTCCTTGGTCCACATCAACACAGAAGGTTGAGCTGTTCTTGTGCTGGCTGAGAAAAACTTCAGTCACTCCAGTTACAAAATAGAATAGGAATAAAGCTGTACCAATCCAGCAATTACTACACTATTCCAGGGGTTGTATGCAATGTTACACCACAAGATAAATTACTTGACTTTAATGTTTCTCCCTTTCTCTGTCTTATTTTGCCTTCAGTATTGTTAGTACTGACATCTGAGACAATTGCAGGCTTTCCATTCAAGGCAGCCATGGTGAATGTGGCTGCAAATGGGTTTGACTGTAGCCGTTCCACAAATATAACTATATCACTTGCAAGTCGCTGCTTTATTATAGGGTAGGAGTGAGTCTGTTTTCTCCTAAGAGCCAATCTGACTCTGAGTAAAATGGTCAGGGAGGGGTGAGGAGGCACCTGAAACAAATGGGACAAAATAATCTAAATATGGGGGTCTGTCTCACTGCAGGCATACCATGTTTAAGTATTGATCTTCTTGAGTGCAGTATATACAACATACATAGATGTGTGTGTGGATAAGAATATCAACCTTGCTGTCAAGCAAAATCAAGTGAGTGCCCCAGTGCACTAATCAAATAGGTGGTAAGGAAATAGGGGAACTCAGGCACCACACAGGCTATGTAGAAAGTAAACACAAGGTCAGTCATAAAGGACTCAAATGTCTATACACTAACGCACAGAGTATGAGTAATAAACAGGGTGAATTAGAAATTCAGGTAAATGAGGACAGATATGATATTGTTGCCATTACGGAAACTTGGTGGGATGAAACCCACAAATGGAACATACAGCTAGAGGGATTTAGAATAGAATAGAGCTGGAAGGGACCTTGGAGGTCTTCTAGTCCAGCCCCTTGCTCAATCAGGAAAACCTATACCATCTCAGGCAAGTGACTGTCTAGCCTCTTCTTAAAAATCTCCAGTTTAAATTTAAATTATTTAAAAGAAACAGACCACATAAAAGAGGTGGTGAAGTTGCTCTTTATATAAGAAATAACTACATCTCTACAGAAATAGAGCACAACAATGATGAAAACTGTCTTGAATGCATTTGGGTCAATATAAAAGGGGGGAAATGACATTGCCATAGAGAGAGTTTGATAAGATAGAAAAATGTGGATTAGACAGCATCACCACCAGATGGATTCATAGCTGGCTGACCAACTGTACTCAGCGTGTGGTCCTAAATGGAACTGGATCTACATGGAGGGAAGTGTGTAGTGGGGTGCCCAAAGGCTCTGCTCTGGGCCCAGTGCTCTTCAACATCTTCATCAATGATTTGGATGAGGGGATAGATGGGGAACTCATCAAATTTGCAGACGACACCAAGCTGGCAGGAATAACCAACATTCCACAAGATAGGCTTAAGATACAGGAAGATCTTGACAGACTTGAACATTGGGCGCTATCTAACAAAATGAAATTCAATGGTGAAAAAAGTAAGGTTATGTTGAGACTCTAGAAAGAGTACAGAGAAGAGCTATAAAGAACGGTTGCTGAATTGGGTATGTCTAGTTTAACAAAGAGAAGGACAAGTGGGGACATGATAGCAGTGTTCCAATATCTCAGGGGATGCCACAAAGAAGAGGGAGTCAAGCTATTCTCCAAAGCACCTGAAGGCAGGACAAGAAGCAACGGGTGGAAACTAATCAAGGGGAGAAGCAACCTGGAACTAAGGAGAAACTTCCTGACAGTTAGAACAATTAACCAGTGGAACAACCTGCCTCCAGAAGCTGTGAATGCTCCAACACTGGAAGTCTTTAAGAAGAGACTGGACAGCCATTTGTCTGAAATGGTATAGGGTTTCCTGCCTGAGCAAGGGGTTGGACTAGAAAACCTCTAAGGTCCCTTCCAACATCATCATCATTATCATCATCATCAGAAGCCAGCATAGGACAAAGATAGTACAGGTACTTCTTGACTTATAACCACAATTCAGCCCAAAATTTCTGTTGCTAGGTGAGACAGTTATTAAGTGAATTTTGCCCCATTTTATAGCTTTTCTTGCCACAGTTGTTAAGTGAATTAAGTTGTCCACTTACAACTGTTCATTTATTGACCATTCAAAGTTACAATGGCACTGCAAAATGTGTCTTATGACCATTTTTCACAGTCATGACCTTTGCAGCATCCCCATGATCCTGTGATCAAAATTCAGATGCTTGGTAACTGGTTCATACTTATGACCGTTGCTGTGTCCCAGGGTCATGTGATCCCCTTTTGCAACCTTCTGACAAGCAAAGTCAGTGGGGAAGCCAGATTCACTTAACAACCGGGTTACTAACTTATCAACTGCAATGATTCATGTAACAACTGTGCCAAGAAAGGTTGTAAAATGGGGCAAAACTCACTGAAATGTCTCACTTAGCAATAGAAATTTTGGGCTCAATTGTGGTCGTAAGTCGAGGACTACCAGTCTTGCACTTGTTAAGTTAGTAACATGGCTGTTAAGTGAAACTGGCTTCCCCATTGACCAGCTTGTCAGAAAGTCGTAAAAGGGGATTACATGACCCTGGGACACTGCAACCGTCATAACTGTGAGTCAGTTTCTAAGTCTCTGAATTTTTTCATATGACCGTGGGGATGCTACATGAGTCGTAAGTGTGAAAAATGGTCATAAGTCACTTTTTTCAGTACCTTTGTAATTTCAAATGGTCACTGAATGAACTGTTGTAACTCGAGGACTACCTGTAGTAAGTATATCCCAGAGGAAAGGCCTCCAATGCTTTCTATATTATAGAAGATGGAATGTTTTTTGACAATAAACTTTAGTATGAAGAGAGGCCTGTTCTAAACATACAAAAGTGCCTTCTTTTTATCTGGGAATGAAACCTTGAGGAAACACAGTATTCATACTATATATTTAACTTTGTTGCTGTGTTAACAAGTTTTCTGTATTTATACTATATACTAAAGCATGAAATAATGCTGAGGGTCTTCAAACGTGGCCCTTTTATGACTCCCAGAATTCCTCAACCAGGCACTCTGCCTGAGGAATTCTGGGAATTGAAGTCCACAAATCACAAAAGGGCCAAGTTTGAAGACCCCTGAACTAATTAAATAAGCTGGGTTCTCAAAAATGGCATTTCCCCAAAATTCCCACAACAAATGAAGCAAAGTTAACTCTAAGCTTAACATGTTGAGGAAAAGTACTTGCTAGGTCCTGGCATGCCCTGGTTAAACATATAGTATTGTAAATAATATGTAATTTGCTTTATAAGTATGAAGTGGAAGACCATGGACTGAATAAATACTAAATTATGCTGAAACATACTGCAGCAATTCAGATTTAATATTTTTCTTTCAGTATTTTGAAGTGAATCCAGTTTACATAGATGCAGATTTCAACATTTTAATCACTTTCATCACTTGTTGGTGTTCAAGTGACCAATTGTAACCCCATAACTCCACTCCAGAATATTATAACCTAATCAAAACCCAAATCCTTCATTTATCCAGTAGCCTCTAAGGTTTGGCATTAGAAATTGCAGCATAAATCACAGTGGGGATGTAACTTATGGATGATTGTTCTGAGACTCTTGGTTCTTGGAGTTAGTAACAGAGGTTTGAGATTAATTTCAAAGTGTAAAATATCTCCACTGCTGAGATGTCCTTCAGCTGTGTTACTTGATAGTGTAATAGTATGTGGGAGTGACTTTGGGTGATAGGAGAGACAGGCACAGACTGGACAACCAGGTGTGAAAGAAGTTTTAGCCCAGAGAGGAAGGAACAGAATGGGAAACATTTCAGAAGGGACTCTCCCTAGTTTTCCAAAGAATGAAAGGAAAAAAGGAAGAAATCCCTTTAGTCTTGCAATATTCTGCTGATGTAACCTTACAATAAAGTCAGAGCTAGCACTTCTGGTTTTTCTTTTTGCTTGGCCTTAAATCACTGGGCTACACACATACACACACATATATATTTCTTACATTTGCCCCAGGGCTCTGCTGATTCCTACACTAGCCGCCCATCATTGGACTCCGACGTGTCGCTAGAGGAGGATCGTGAAGGTGTGAAGCGCGAAGTGGAGAACCAGGCCCAGCAGCAGCTTGAAAAAGCCAAGGTAATGGATGGGTCTTGGTTTTTTCCAGGACAGATAGAGGGTTGCATCATGTGAGAATGATTGCCCCTGCAACAGTCCAGTTTTTTATTGTTCAGTTGCTCTGCTTCAATTATGGAATTCCCCAGCTGGTTAGAACACTTGTCATCTTTCTCTGTTTTCCCATTCTTTCTGCCTTATTTTTCCTTTAAGCCACAGAGGATCAGCTAAACAGAGGAAGTTGTAACAGCTACACAGTAGCATATTATTGGCAATGCAAGAAGCTGCTGTTTGGAAGCACAGATTAATTCCTGGTAGCCCTAATGAATCTGAATTACAATTTGGTTAAAAGAAAAATAACGTAAGCAGTAGAGCTGAGATCATGTGACAACTATGAGGAGAAGCGGCAGGATTGCAGAAAAAGACAGCATCTTTAAAGTGTATGCAGGTGCTATATTTATACTTATTGTTGGAATAAAACCTGAATTAGTGCAGAGACCTGATAAGGAGAGGAGAAAAGCAACTACCAATACTGATCTGAGTTCTCTAAAATTACTTATGTAGCCAAAAAAGGCACCATCCTTGTTCAAAAGTTGATATCATCAAGTTTGAGGGAACTTTTTAAGATTTTCAAAACTACAAACTGCCTTGTGAAGAGATGGCATTATGACTATTACTAAGATGTCAGATTGCAGATTATAGACTCATGGTCCACATCCCCATGAGTGAGAGAAGGTTCTTTGTCTCTCATACACACCCAGCCCTTCCTTTTGGTAAATACTATATAGAAAGTGGTTTGATCTTCTTAAAACATGGAAGAAAATGTCCAGGGAAAGAAGCTGGCTGGGTAAGACACAAGATACCCATCTCCTGCAATTTGTAATGAATATTTGGAAACACAGACCCATTTGCTTCAGATGTATGGAAATAGATAACTGTATAGCCAAGTAACAGCTTTTAAAAAATTATTTCTATTTCTCTTTAGTACAATGGTTCTCAACCTTTTTAATGCCGCGACCCCAACCGGTCGTACGTCGAGGACTACTCAACTGATGCAGCACCGTTTGCAGAATGGGACTTTTGGTGGGCTCAGCAGGGCAGAGACAGCCTGGACAATTCCTACTGGCTTTTGAAAGCCAATAGAATTAAATTCTATTCAAGAGAGTCTATTCTATTGGCTTTCAAAAGCCAATAGAATAAAAGGGAGTAGCACAGCTAAGGAAAAGGGGAAAAAAATGGCGGACTGCGTTGTTTGGCGACCCCCGTGAAATGGTCGTTCGACCCCAAATGGGGTCCCAACCCACAGGTTGAGAACCACTGCTTTAGTATGTTGTGCTAGGTCATTTTCTTTAATTTGGTGCACCAGTTGTGGAATTTCAGCTATGTACATGAAAATATTTTTTTCTTTAGAATATTCCTGTGCTTTATAGTAATAATTATAAATCTTATCATCGGGGCGATGTTACATGATTTTTAGATAGAGAATTCTTTGTATGTAGTAGGCCAGTATCAACATGTGGTCTATCTGGAATGTTTGCATTTTCATTTGAGTGCTTCATTAACTACTTCGCAAGTATTACTGTGATCTGGGCAGTTCTGTTTTTATTTTACTTTATATGGAAGGTTTGCAGTTTGGTACTTAACATTTTTTATGTAAAAAAAACCTTGAAATAAAGTTTCATTTTCTTTATCTCCAGTGAGATTTGTCCATCTTCCAGGACACAGTTGAGGGGAGGGGGAAAAAAGGGATGAATTTTCCAGTCTTCATGCCTATATGCCACACGGCCAGGAGGTAGCACTATGGAAATTATTTCAACATTTGCCTTTTTAATTATTAGAAAGGCATTAGAGAATGTGAAAACCCCATTTCTAATGCCTACTGGGTTTAGGGACTGTGAATAGTAAGTGAAGTACCCTCTGCGATAGCTGAGCTACCGAGCTACAATGACAAAACTGGAGGTGGGAACCAGGTGTGAAGAACCAGGAAGCTTCTGGGAGAAGAATTTTGGAACCTCAAGCTTTCTTCTCTGCAGGCCTCCGCATTTACTAGATAGGGAGATATACTAAAAGGGAAAGCTTTCCTTTTTCTATTCAGGTTTCCATCTATCCATTCCATCTCTTCTCTCCACTTTTACTTTTTCCCCATCAATATTCAGCCAGCATTCCATATGCCCTGCCTTGTTTGTTTGTTTGTTTGTTTGCAATGAAAAGGATTGTCATAAAGCAGTTTAAAGCATGGTTCTGGGAACAGGAAAAGGATGATGGAACTTTGGGATGGCCAGAGCATGTTCCTGCAGGAGAGAGAGATGGACAACCCAGAAACTATCCCACCACACTTTAGGGCAGCGGTTCTCAACCTATGGGTCGCGACCCCATTTGGGGTCGATCGACCACTTTTCGGGGGTCGCCAAAGGCGGCGATCCGCCATTTTGTCCCCTCCGGGGGCGCCGCCGCGCATGCGCGCCGCACATGGGGGCGGCGGCATGCCTCCGGGGGGGTGGCGCTGTGCATGCGCGCCGCGCATGGGGGCGGTGGCGCGCCTCTGGGGGCGGCACCGCGCATGCGCGCCGCACATGGGGCGGCAGCACGCCTCCGGGGGCGGCACCGCGCATGCGTGCCGCGCATGGGGTGGCCCTGCGCATGCACGCCGCGCACGGGGGGCGCCCCCCATGCGCACCGCATCGCGCATGCGCATAACGTTTGTGTGACGGGGGTCGCCGTCACACAAATGTTGAGAACCGCTGCTTTAGGGATATATTAGAAAAAACATAGTCCATGTATCCATCTCATTACAGAAAGGCAGTGGAAACTGAAGAAGAATTTTAAACTCCTATGCTTAGACCCCTGTAACATATAGGTGAATCCTGCTTAGATATAGGTAATTTCCAAGCAGTGTTGTGCCAAAAGGATCAGCAATGACCAGGTAGTGTCTTCCCTTGAAGGCACGGTCTATCTTTCTGAGTCCCTGTAACTGTGCTTGGGTGTTCTTTGAGCCAATCAAGGTTACAAAAATAGAAGAAAGAGGAGGATAGACCTTTGATCTAAGGCAGTGTTTCTCAACCTTGACAATTTTAAGGCATGTGGACTTCAACTCCCAGAATTCCACAGCCAGCAATGCTGGCTGTGGAATTCTGGGAGTTGAAGTCCACATGCCTTAAAATTGTCAAGGTTGAGAAACACTGATCTAAGGTGTTATTTTACATGGGGGGCTGACCTGGCACTGATAACTCATATCTGATTTCTTCTGCTCCTCAGAGCAAACCGGTTGCATTTGCTGTCCGTACTAATGTCAGCTACTGTGGTGCATTGGATGAAGAATGTCCTGTGCAGGGATCTGCCATCAACTTTGAAGCCAAAGACTTCTTGCATATTAAAGAGGTGGGGCACTGGCAGTACCAGAGATGTGCAGAAGGAGAACCTGCATTTCAATTTGCGAGGAAAGACGTCGCATTACTGCTGCTAGGGATAGGGGTGGGTGGTTTACTGGTGGTCCTTGACTTATATGACCACAATTGAGACTAGAATTACTGTTCTAAGCAAGGCAGTTCTAAGTGAATCGTGCCTGATTTTACGGCTGTTTTTGGCATAGTTGTTAAGCAAGTCACTATAGTTAAGTGAGTCATTCAGTTGTTAAGTGAGTCTGGCTTTCCCCACTGACTTCAGAAGCCAGCTGGGAAGGTTGGAAATACCGTGATCACATAATTCCAGGATGCGGCAACTGTTGTAAATATATGCTGGTGCAAGCACCTGAGCTTTGATCATGTGACTGTGGGCATAAGTGTGAGGACTAGTTGTGAGTCATTTTTTTCAGGACCATTGTAACTTCAAATGGTCACCAAATGAACTGTTGTAAGTTGAGGACTATCTGTACAGCGGTGAGTTTAGCCCAATGTTTCTCAACCTCGGCAGCTTTTAAGAGTGTGAATTTAAAAGTCCCAGAACTCTGGTTTGAAAGTTGCTTCTCAAAAAATGTTCTCAAACTTCCCATGTGTGTGCAAGGTAAGCAATACCTGTACAAAAGGGGTGGAGCTTATGTTATGACATTGCAAATCGCTTTGCTCAATACCCCCCAGATGCCAATCTGCTCTGTGGATGTCTCTGGGTGCAGGCTAGGAAGGCAGATTGTACAACCCAGGAAAAGGCAAAGCTGAAGAACTTGTGTACTATTGCCAAGAAGACAACATAGGTGTATTGATGGAGATTCCAGGAGCTGATTCATTTTGTCTTTTTTGAATAGCCTAGAAAATATGGATTGGGTTGCAATATGTGAACACCTTTCAAAATCTTACCTGAAGTGCAAGTAATCCTTGATTTATAATTGTTGGAGTTACAATGGCCTTGCAAAGGATACTTTATGGCGGGGTCCTCAAACTTGGCCACTTTAAGACTTGTGGACTTCAACCCCCAGAATTCCCCAGCCAGACATTCTGGGAGTTGAAGTCCACAAGTCTTAAAGTGGCCAGGTTTGAGGACCCCTGCTTTATGGCCTGTAAGACATTTCCAGCTGTCATAAAATGTAACACACACACACACACACACACACACACACACACACACACACTGCAACTGGTTTACATCTACGATCGGTGGCAGCACCCCTTAGTTACGTGATTGCAATTTGCAATCTTTTTTGTCAGTTTCTGGAAATCCCAGTCCCAGTTGTGGTTGTAAAACAAGGATTACCTACATGGTAAATATGAACATATTTATTTACGGCTGTAATTTATGTGCTGCTCAGTTCCAAAAAGGCTTCCACTTGATTGCAGACAAAAATAGGAAAAGAGTAAAAGAAAATATAATACTAACCCCACTCCAATAATAGCAATTAATCTCCCATCCCTTAACATACCCGGTCAGTTCTTACTATCAAACTTGCAAAGATTTTCTGAAAGAGCAAAGTCATAGTGGCTTTTCTTGATCTCCAACAGGTTTGGGACTAACTGCTTCAAAGATATTATCTTGTTAAACAATTCCCTATTTAACTGGATATTTCAACCAAACCCAGTACAAGTTGAGGAAGAAAAAGAGGAAAAAGTAGTTATCCAGTAAAGGGTAAGAAAGAGAAGAAACAAAAGTCAGGTTTTTAAGAAACCTAAAAATGTAGACATGATATAGTTTAATTTAGACCTAGCATCTCATTCCTTGTTGCTGTATCCAGAAGATCAACTGTTTAATTTTAAACAATTTTTATTCCAGGGACGTAGCTTTCGAATATTGGAGGAACAGATGTTTAGCTATAATGGCTACCCACCAAATGCTATGTTTAATGTATTAATACTCATACTAAAATATATATAATTAGAAAAAAAAGCACCTTCTACTTTGATCGGAATAGCTTAAGAAGACAAAAGAGAAAGATATACGAGCAGATAGACAGACAGATCATATCCTCTCTTCTTTTTTTTTTAACAGAAAGGTTGAATTCACTATCTGGCTTGCACGTGACTTACCTAGCCAAGACAAGGGTTCACACATCATGCTAAACCTTAAATCATGTTCTGCAAACCACAAAGGCTCAAACAAATTAAATCACATTATGATTGTGTGTGATGCATGACCTTAGCCCAGTGTTTCTCAACCTTGGCAATTTATAATTTATTTATTAATTAAGCAAATTTATATAGCAGCCCAACTCACACCTGCTCTGGGTGGCTTACAACATTTAATTTAAAAAATCCATTGTATAATAAAACCATTAAAAAAAACACTTCCCCACTCCCGATGGCAGCCACAATACAGTCAGATTAGCCACATGATCAGCTCCATTTCCATTTGTAGTTGCTATGCCTGTGGACAAAGCCATGTCTTTAGGGCCTTTCAGAAAAACAGCAGGATGGGGACCAACTACACCTCAGGGGCAATGAAGTTCCATAAAGAAGGGGCCACTAACAAGGCCTTTTTTGTGTTTCCACCAGATCACAATCCCTAATTGATGGGACCCATATCATGCCCTGCATTCCTGCCCTGGTGGGCAGATGTCATAGGGCAGTGGTTCTCAACCTTTTTAATGCCGCGACCCCCAACCGGTCATAAGTCGAGGACTACTCAACCGGTCGTAAGTCGAGGACTATTCAGCTGGTGCAGCACCGTTTGCAGAATGGGACTTTTGGCGGGCTCAGCAGGGCAGAGACAGCCTGGACAATTCCTATTGGCTTTTGAAAGCCAATAGAATTAGACTCTATTCAAGACTCTCTTGAACAGAGTCTAATTCTATTGGCTTTCAAAAGCCAATAGAATAAAAGGGAGTAGCACAGCTAAGGAAAAGGGGGAAAAAATGGCGGATTGCGTTGTTTGGCGACACCCGTGAAATGGTCGTTCGACCCCAAATGGGGTCCTGACCCACAGGCTGAGAACCACTGTCATAGGGAGAGATGTTGCTTCAAATAAACTGGCCCCAAGCCAGGTTATAAGTTGTAGGAGCTGTGGTGGCACAGTGGTTAGAATGTAGTATTGCAGGTAAACTCAGTCCATAGCCACTAGTTCAATCCTGACCATTTCAAGGTTTACTCAGCCTTACGTCCTTCCAAGGTCAGTAAAATGAAGACCCAGATGGTTGGGAGCAATATGCTGACTCCGTAATCCACCCAGAGAGTGCTGTGAAGCGCTGTAGGATGGTAGATAAGTTTAAGTGCTATTGCTATTTAAAGGTGATAACCAGCACCTTGAACTATACCTAAACTTGTACATACAATTTTTGCATGTGTGGGCTTCAGCCCCTAGAATTCTCTGCAATGATTGTGTTGTTAAGTCCACACATTTCGAAGCTGTCAAGGTTAAAAACACTAGTCTAGCTTACATGAATAAAGGTGAAATGGAGATTAAGTTGGAAATCAAGCTTGTGGCCTTCTCCTGTGATATTCTCTCCAGAAATACAGCAATGACTGGTGGATCGGGCGGCTAGTGAAGGAGGGGGGAGACATCGCCTTCATCCCCAGCCCACAGAGGCTGGAGGCCATACGGCTGAAACAGGAGCAAAAAGCCAGGTGAGATGGGACAAGCATATACAGCGTTTAATTCTGGCAACAGAAGGAGATATAGAAAGTGTCTCTGGCCATAAATTTGGGAGTAGATCATGTGCCCTCCCACATTGAAGCTCTTGACTAACTAAACTCAGCCTCCAGTGTATAGAATTCTATGTGTATGCAAATATTCAGGATACTTTGATGCTTCTTTTAAGGGCAATATCAATGGAAAATAATTTGGAAGGTCAACAGTCATGTCAATATTTATTAATAAAAGTGGACCTTGGGAGGGGATGTGTCATATACAGTGTGCTGCAGCTGCCAAAAAAGCCAATGCAGTGCTGGGCTGCATTAACAGAGGGATAGAATCAAAATCACGTGAAGTATTAATACCACTTTACAATGCCTTGGTAAGGCCACACTTGGAATACTGCATCCAGTTTTGATAACCACGATAAAAAAAGATGTTGAGACTTTAGAAAGAGTACAGAGAAGAGCAACAAAGATGATTAGGGGACTGGAGGCTAAACATATAAGGAACGGTTGTTGGAATTGGGTATGTCTAGTTTAACAAAGAGAAGGATGAGGGGGGACATGATAGCAGTGTTCCAATATCTCAGGGGCTGCCACAAAGAAGAGGGAGTCAGGCTATTCTCCAAAGTGCCTGAAGGCAGGACAAGAAGCAATGGAAGGAACTAAGCAAGGAGAGAAGCAACCTAGAACTAAGGAGAAACTTCCTGACAGTTAGAACAATTAATCAGTGTAACAACCTGCCTCCAGAAGCGGTGAATGCTCCAATACTGGAAGTTTTTAAGAAAAGACTGGACAGCCATTTGACCAAAATGGTGTAGGGTTTTCTGCCTGAGCAGGGGGTTGGACTCGATGACCTCCAAGGTCCCTTCCAACTTTATTATTATTATTATGAATCATCGCACAGTCAGCCAGATGTTCAGACTGGATTTGGCATTTTGTCTACCTATCGAGTCCTTACCCAGGACCTGGGATAGGCAGATGTGGATGTTTGATGGTATTACAGATATTGTCACAGGATGGAAGCAGTTCCTAATAAGGCCGCCTTTTGCAATTGACTAATAGCGAATTTGTCAATGCCAATGGGGTTCAAGTGGTGCTCCAGTTGTTTTGGGATTGCACCTAAGGAGCCTATTACTATTGGTACTACCCTTGCTTGCTTTTGCCACAGTTTTTCTATTTCTATTTGTAGGTCTTTGTATTTTGTTATCTTCTCCAGTTCTTTCTCGTCTATTCTGCTGTCTCCAGGCACTGCCACGTCCACTATTCAGACTTTTTTGTCTTTCTTATCGACAGTTGTTAAGTCTGGGGTGTTATGTTGCAGGTGCTTGTCTGTTGTTGTTGTTGCTGCTGCTGTTGTTGTTGTTGTTATTATTATTATTATTATAGATGGATTCTGAATCTTATATACACAACACCACTTTTTAAATCCTAGGTTCTTACCATGTATTTGCTTTCCTCTCCTCCCACTAGGCAATCTGGGAATCCTGCCATCAGCAACCGGCGATCGCCTCCCCCGTCATTAGGTAAAGACATAAGTAGAACTAACTTGTAGAAATCTCTGCTGATTTTTTGTTTTGCAATTTTTTTTAACCTGAGAAAAGGTGTGTCGAATCGGGCCGCATATCATTATTTAGAAAAATCCAAACAGGTCATAAGTTGGAACTGATCCACCTGTGTGTTGGAAATGGGGTGGTGGTGGAAAAAGAGGGAACAGCTACTAAAGGAAGGAGGGGTCACCAGATGCGAGATGACTGTTATCAGGATTCTCAGAAAAAAATGTGTGGTGTGAAGTTGGTAACGGCTTTTAGGATTAAAGCAGTTGCAAAACAAAATCTTCAGTGGCTAAGAGTCTTTCCCCATAATTATCAAAATAAAAAAATGATAGCAGTTAATTTAAATAGTGCAGAAAAAGGGATATCTTAGTTCTTAGATTTTGCTTACCTTGGCTTGTCTCATATGTAATATTTTCAGTGAAGTTCTGAGTGCAAACAATGACTTCCAATGCTGTAACTTAAATACAGGTGGTTCTTGGCTTAAAATAATTCATTTAGTGACTGGTCAAAGTTACAACGGCATTGAAAAAAAGAGACTGATGACCATTTTTCCCCTTTATGACCACTGCAGCATCTCCAGGGTCACATGGTCAAAATTCAGAGGCTTGGCACCTGACTCATATTTATGACGGTTGCAGTTTCCCAGGGTGTGTGTGTCATGTGATCTCCTTTTGTGAACTTCTGATAAGCAGAGTCAATGGGGAAATCAGATTGACTTATCAACAGTGTTACTAGTTTAACAACTGCAGTGGTTCACTTAACAACTATGGCAAGAAAGGTCATAAAGATGGGCAAAACTCATTTAACAACTGCCTCGCTTAGCATCAGAAATTTTGGGCTCAGTTGTGGTCATAAGTCAAGGACTACCTGTATGTGTGTACATGTGGTGCTACATTTGGGAAATAACATGACATATTTTTCTGGGAGAAACTTCCTGGTCCTGTTGCAATTCCGGGAGATCAAGTCTCCAGCCCTGCAGAACTCCAGCCTTTCCCATAGTTTTTTTTTTTTTTTTCTTGCTATCTCATGACTATTGACAACCCTGTATCTCTTTTTCTCTTCCAACAAGCCAAGCAGAAGCAAAAGCAGGTAAGGCCTTAATGCTGGGGTTACCTTCTTGGATGCCACTCCTTTCTTCTCCAGAAAGAAAAAGGCAGGATGACTTCTGAGGCTTATCTTGTCTAACTTCATGTTGAGCAGGTTGGATGCTAGGACAAATCTGAGAGCAGAGCTTCCCAGAGGCAAAATAGCTGTTCAGCAGTGGTAGAATTTCCTGTATCACAGGACTTTCAAAAGGCTGAATGGGGCTGGAGTCTATTTGTCTTATAGAGAACCTGAAGCCTCCTCACCACCTGGGGTGTGATATTGTAGCAAAAGCAAAACAAAATGGATCCCAGAGGTTCAGGGTGGTCTTGATGTTTGTGTCACACGTGTATGATATTAGGTGAAATATGTGGCTTGGAGGAACCCTCTTTATCTTTACTACGTCCCCTTTTTCTCCTTACAATTAGCAGCAGACTTTTGGCTGCAGAATAGGGGAGAAGTCACTTCCTATGACACATTCTCCTTTTTACAGACAGAGCACATCCCTCCATATGATGTGGTTCCTTCCATGCGGCCAGTGGTGCTGGTGGGGCCCTCACTGAAAGGATACGAGGTATGGGGGATATGGAAGGGATGAAATTCTCCCCTATATCTCTTTTAAACCAGATATGCTAGTACTGACTGTGACCATCAGCTGACCACTGTCTCTGCTCACCTCCCAACTCACCTGTTCTTCTTTTTCTTCCAGGTGACAGACATGATGCAGAAAGCTCTTTTTGATTTCTTGAAGCACAGATTTGATGGCAGGTGAGGCATTAAAAAAAATCTATTTCTCTCTCTCTCTCCTCTCCAATCTCCCACCCACCATCTCTTAAAGCAGAGGTGGGGAATCATGGACACTTTATGACTTGTGGACTTCAACTCCCAGAATTCTAGGGAAGTCCACAAGTCATAAAAGGGCCACTATTCCCTACACCTGTCCTAAGGGCGTTTAGCAGAGCCATCCTATCTTTCAGAATCTCCATCACACGTGTTACAGCAGACCTGTCCCTGGCCCAGCGCTCGGTGCTCAACAATCCTGGGAAACGGGCCATCATTGAGCGATCTACAACCCGTTCCAGTATTGGTGAGTCCTAATTAATTGGGATTCATTTCCAGAAGAACTTTAGTTTGGAGAGTGTCTCTGCCACGTAGAAGCTTTATATCTTCAGCGATCAACACAACCTTTTAAAAATTGGGTTTACTATTGCTTTATAGATACTGTATAGAGATAAAAACTGGAGTTAGCATGAAATTTGTCTGGAAAATTTTATCTCCTAGAAAATAAGGGCAAGCTACATTTTCTTTTCTAAATTATTTTTTGGGTTCAGCTTCAGATTTTCATAATCCACTTGAGACCTGGCTACAGGAATTGCAAACAGAAACAGTTCAAAAGTGGCAAAGTGTTTATGAAAAATTAGCAATAGTACGGAAGTAGTTTTGTAAGCATTACACCTTGAAAGGCAAGGGAAATCCCTCTTTCCCATTTGTATTGTTGCTGCAACTATTTAATTAGTTAGTTGTGTGGAACCAGAGTAACTGTTTCAAATCTCCTGGGCAGAGATCTGTTCTTCTCTTCTTCTCCTTTGGGACTTCCCTTGTTGCTCAGGCAACTATTCCTAAAATGATATTTCCCATCTTATTTTTGTCATTTCAGCATAGGCATTTCACATCTATGTAGTTGAATGGGTTATATAAACTCATTTTCCCTAGATTTCAGGAAAGACATGGAGGAACTATTTCGTATCAGCTGTAATGTAAAGCATGTTTATTGGAATTTAAAGGCACATAGCCCAAAATAGGCATGAGTGGGAAGAAATAGGGGTATTGCTAAGTGAGTATAAATAGACAAAGAGGAGGGAGGGAAGATTTGGGAATAAGACCAGTACTAAAGTATTGCAATTTGAATCATCAATAGGGGCTTAGGACTAAATGACATTGCAACACTGAATCTTAAACAATAAGCCATGCGTGCATTTAACCCTGCTGTTGTGGGGAATGAGAATGTCATTTGGGCTTTTGAATTGTGCAAAGGAGTTTTAATTTTTCCCATTCTGCGAGCATCCCAGAAAAAAATAATCTCAGCTTGTTATCAGTTTAAGATGTTTAACACTCCTTTGTTCCTCTGCTTGTATTGACCAGCTACCTTTCAGATATACATTTGGAGAGAAACCTGATGCTGACAGTATATATATATATATGTATGTATGTATGTATGTATGTATGTATGTATGTATGTATGTGTATGTATATGTATATGTATATATATATACTGGAGCCCATTCTCTGTGTGAGGCACCCTGTTGATGGTATTTTTGCAAAATATAGGAGCTGCAAGTAATTACTATAACATTGTATATATTATGCTGAAAACCAGAGGGTAAGGCCCATGCTAATACATAGGAAGTAAAATATAGGTAAAGTAGTGTTTGCACAGGTCACAAATTTTACAACATGGAGCACTGCAGTTGAAGGTTCAAATTGCTGCAGTGTTTTTGTAATTCTAAAGTCTGTTTGTCCTCTCTTTGCATGCTGATCTATGCAGAAATTAAGTTTAAAATTGTCAATAATTCATTTTAAAATCTTTATGCACTGATATAATGGAAATAACTTTTAGCTTTTGAAGCACATTACCTTAGAAATGCACCCAAAAGAACCACTTTAAAAACAATCTGTGGGCAAAATGGAAGATTGATGGAAAATCTGTCTGGAGGATAAATAGGAATATATACCACAGTTCTGGTGAATGATTCAGATGTCACAGTAAGGGGATAAAATATTTGTAGACACTAATACCTTGTTGAAAGCAGCTACTACCCCAGATTAAGGCATGTCACAATATTAGTATTATTTATTAAATGTCTGTGTGTGGTATAAAATCTCCTGCAGTTTTTCCATGGTTATTCATGGAATCAACAACCTGTTCTAATACTTCTTGCTGATATCCATGTAGTTACAAATGTGGCAGGTGTGAGCAGCCCATAGATCTTTATGCCAAGTGCACCTCTTTTGAGGGCGCACTTAACTGCAAAATTATATTGGTGGGATTTTTAGCTTAAATTTGAAAAAGAAGAAGAAATGAACAGGCTTATAATAACTTTTCCCCTCCTCTTTCCTAATGGCCTCACTGCTATACCTTCTGTGGCTCTTCCAAATTGGGAAAAAAATATACAAACTTTTAGTTACAAAATGGTTATCCTTCCCTAACATGTGGGCATGGATTTCCATTCGATGAAGTAAAAGCAAAATTGGAAAATTGTAGAGATTTTACTTTCATTTGACATTGCATTTGCAAACATGAATCAGATAACCTCACCGGATCTCTCTTAAACAGCCATCTAATCATTCTCCTTGAATACACTTGCTAGCTCAATTTTCTCAATTTTCTGCTGTAGTCAACACATTGTATTTATATTCCTTTTATGTTCCATCAGTGCAAACTGCACTTTCTACGCATCCCAAGCATTGACTGAAGAGCAGGGATGATCCCAAATTCCATCAACAATGCAGTCTATGCAAGCCTATTCAAAAAGTAATCTTGAGTTCAAGGTGATTAACTCTGAAATTTGCACAAAACCAACCTTTGGAAATATCCAACCATATACCTTAAGCCAGGCACTGGAAGTTTATGTGTTGTTTCAGCACCTTGCCCAGTTGAGCTGCTTGCTAACATGGGACAAAAACAATATGCCAATATATGAATATTCTGCATTCAATTAGTTTCAGCATGTTTGTTTTGCTGTACTTTTACAATCACTGTATTATATAGGCCACCATTTAAGGTACTGTAATCCCCAAATTGCAAATTAGTTGTTTAGGAAAAATTGGTTGGTTACCTCTTGCTACAGTTGTGAAAAATGAATAAATAGAAAGTTTTTAGAAGTGTGTGTGTGTGTGTGTGTGTGTGTGTGTGTGTGTGTGAATAGATTCCAAGATTTTTAGAATCAACTAACGATATTATTTTCAGGTAGCAGTTCCCAAATAAATATTTTAAACGTTCTCAATTTTAATTTCTGATATAGTAAATATGGATAAATATAACCCACATAAACCAATTTTTTTAATGTTCTCAATATTTTTTAAGAATGGAAAGGATTCCTGAGGCCAAAATAATTGAAAAATGCTGTTGTAATATTAGCCTTGGTAGATGGCAACATCTGGCTGACATTTCTTGGTTCAGAAACTATATTTAGTATTAGGGTTCGTGGCACAGTCAGCCGGATGTTCAGACTGGATTTGGCATTTTTGTCTGCCTATCGAGTTTCTTCGCAAGGACTTGGGATAGGGAGATGTGGATGTTTGATGATATTACAGGTATTGTCACAGAATGTAAGCTGTTTTGAGTAAACTGTCTTTTGCAATTGATTGATGGTGGATTTGTATTCAAGTGGTGCTCCAGTTATTTTGGGATTACACCCAAGGCACCTCTTACTATTGGTATTCTCTTTGCTTTCTTTTGCCATAGTCATTCTGCTTCTATTTCCAGGTCTTTGTATTAGTATCAGTATTAGTACATCAATATTAGTGTCAGTATTAGGACGAGAGACCAACAGAGAATCTCAGTGCTATAGGCAGAGACTGGGAAATTGAAAAACATCCAAGAAAAGGGAATGTCAAATTAGTCCTTTACAGTTGCCAAGGCAGCTCCACGTATATATCCAGATCATCACCAAGAGTTGAGCTTCGCTTGACAGCATCTGTTTAATGTAGACTGAAGACAATTCCTATACAACAACTCTTCCCCCGGCGTAAAATGCTGCCTTCTGTACCCTTGTGTGAACATCCCCTTGCCTGCTTTCTGGGGATGGGAAATGGGTTTTCCTGTTGACCAATAGAGAAAAGGGGGAAAAAAAACCACTGGTGTTCCATCCAATGCCCTATCTCTTCGGCTCATTTATTTTCCTCCAGCGAAGACAAAATGCAGGGAAACAGCAAAGCCACTTTTCCAAGCATTCTTGAAAGGAGGCAGAGGAACAAGCCACAATTCTTTTCAGATGAAAGGAGGCAAATCTCTGGAAACAATGAAAAGAGAAGGAGGGAGAAACTTTCTCCTTCAGAGCTCAGGAGGAGATATTGCGAAACTAACTTTTCTCAAAGCATTTCGTCCTGGAAAAGGAGCCAAAGAAGTTCAGCCTGTGAAATACCTTTCCCCGCCCCCACCCCGGTGAAGCCCTAGGGCAGTGGTTCTCAACCTGTGGGTCAGGACCCCATTTGGGGTTGAACGACCATTTCACGGGGGTCACCAAACAACGCAGTCCGCCATTTTTTCCCCCTTTTCCTTAGCTGTGCTACTCCCTTTTATTCTATTGGCTTTTGAAAGCCAATAGAATAGACTCTCTTGAATAGAGTCTAATTCTATTTGCTTTCAAAAGGCAATAGGAATTGTCCAGGCTGTCTCTGCCCTGCTGAGCCCGCCAAAAGTCCCATTCTGCAAACGGTGCTGCACCAGTTGAGTAGTCCTCGACTTACGACCGGTTGGGGGTTGCGGCATTAAAAAGATTGAGAACCACTGCCCTAGGGAGATGCAATGAGTTGGCACCAGGATCTCACATTGGCACTTCCTCAGTGTATGGAAATGGCTCAAGAGAAAATTAAACTCATTGATCAGTTGTGAATTATTTTTAGGAAAGCATCAGTTCTATAACTAAATTCAGCTCTCTGAATAAAATATATGTTCATTGCAATGTCCTTAATTTACTTGGGTTAGTTCTCAAGAATCAGAGAAGGCAAAACCTCGGCTGTCACTTGAAATGGCTCTTTCATTTCTTGAGCTTTCTCCTGAAAGTTAACTCCATTTTCTGCTTAAATCTTCCTTCTGATTGAGAAAGAGGAGGCAAGTCAAGACATCATCATTACCTTCTCTGAAAGTGACTTCTGCTGACTCTGCCCAAAAGTTCTTCCATGGAACCATCTCTAAAGACTTCCTCCTGGAGTAGTTCTTGCAGCTTTTACTCTAGGAGATCGCAGATAATTTTCAGCCTTTTCCCAGACTTTGTTAGATACTATCTCTGCAGACATGCTACTCTATGTGTAAACCCAGAACTGTTTAGAGTTACCCCTTTAATACAGGTAGTCCTTGACCTATGAGTACAATTGAGCCCAAAAGCTAAGCAAGACAGTTTTAAAATGAGTTTTGTCCTACTTTATGACTTTTCTTGCCACAATTAATAAGTGAATACTGCATTGTCAAGTTAGTAACATGATTGTTAAGTGAATCTGATTTCTCCATTGACTTTACTTGTCAGAAGTTGCCAATATGATTCTGGGGACATTGCAATTGTCATAAATACATGCCAGTAGCCAAGAATCTGAATTTTGACCACATGACCATGGGGATGCTGCAATGGTCATTGGTGTGAAAAATGGTCATATGTCACTTTTTTCAGGGCTATTGTAACTTCAAATGGACACTTAATGAATGCTTGTAAGTCATACAAGTGTTACTGGTACTGTTCTTGATAGGCTCCTTCTCCACGAAGGGATATGAAGGCTGGATTGATGCCTTATCCAAAGACAAGATTTATTAAACACGACTGATTGAATAAGTAAAATATTGATTAAATAAAAGTCATTCAATGCAGTAAGCAATTAACAACAATACCTGGATTTAGACATCACATTAAGCATAGGCAAAACAAACCACATTGTAACTTAGTCTGGTATGTGAATTCAGTCACTCATAGTTTTATAATTTCTGTCCTTTCCGTGGCCTCTGGCTTGGAACCAATTCAAACTAATTGTAAATTCTTAACTGATTTGTTTAACCAGGAATTTTGATTGTGTTTAATTTATAACCTTTTAAATATGCAATTGTGAGTTACTAGGAAGCAGAAGCAGCACTAGTGGAATTTGGCAAATGGTCAGCAACAGGCCATCATCATAAAGTGTCTTATTAGTAATCTTTTCTGCAACTCCCCAATAATATTATCATAACAGTCAAAATATATTTATGAATCACGCCCCATACTTTAATCGCTTTTTACCTCAGAATTGGTGATTAAAAATTCCTATTATTTGCCTTAACCTTTCCGTGCAACTCAAGAGATATTCATTAGATTCACATGACATTAGATTTAAATGGGAATTTAAACTCATGACAAATCCTGATCATAAAATCAATTTTTCACAAAAGGAAAAAAAAGATAGGAAGGAAGAACAGAAAAGAAAGCAAACTTGAACACAAATTCTGAATCATAAAGCTCTTGTACTGATTCTTATACTGGATTCAAATGGCTTAAGAGCTGAACATGGCTGTTTTATTGGCAGAGAGATGGAGTAGACCTGCTTCCTTTCTCAGTCTCTGCAAGGGAGGCAGAGTAGTGAAACCGGGAGTCCAGGATTGTCAGTTTGGAGATCGGAGAGGTTCACTATCAAACAGGAAGAGAAAAGGAAACATGAGGGGTCCCTCTTTCCTTGCCCTGAAATTCAAGGGGGGCAATTATGAGGCATATGAAACACCCCTCCCCCCCAAGATTAGAGAGGTGCCTAAGACCAGCAGCAGCCATCACAGAAGCTATGCACACAGGGAGGAAGTCAACGTGCCCTCAGAACAGGACAGGGGAGTGAATAACCTTCGGCCGGTGATCCGCTGGCTGACCCCCCCCCCCCGCACTGAGTACTCGCAGCTTGCACAGCTCCTCCAGAGTCAATAGAGTGATCCAAGCGGGTATTGCGACTGGCAGGACAGCAAGCTAGGATCTGGCAGGAGCCGATTTGGTGTGCACTGGGGAGGGAGGGGATGGTTACTGGATGAGCAGGAGGGGCAAAGCCTGATGGGATGGCTCCCCATTAAAACCAAGGGAAGAAGCTTCCACTTCGTGTTACCTCATCATGGCAGCTTTTGCGATTGCAAGTGGATGTCCCTCTTCGGGACTTCTCCTGGGAAGATGGTTTCCAGGTGTGTAGTAGAAGAGAGAGGAGGAGGAAGACAAGGAGGATCTCTGGAGGTGAGAAACAGATAGTCCTTGACTAACAACCATTTGTTTACTGAGTGTTCAAAGTTAACAACAGCACTCAAAATAGTGACTTATAATCAGTCCTTTCACTTACAATCATTGCAGCTTCCCCATAATCAAAATTTGAATGCTTGGCAACTGGCATGTATTTACAATGGCTGCGGTGTCCCAGGGTCACATGATCACCATTTGCAACCTTCCCAGCTGGCTTCCGACAAGCAGAGTCAGTGGGAGAAGCTGAATTCACTGAACAACCCTGAGATTCATTTAACAACTGCAGTGATTTGCTTAACAGCCATGGGGGAAAAAAGGTTGCAAAAGCAGCAAGACTCACTTAGCAATGGTATTGCCAAGTAATGGAAATTCTAGTTCCAGTTGTGGTCTAAACGTCAAGGATTACCCGTATCTGAGATGTACAGAGGGAAGGAAGCTGAGAAAATGGCCTGTCCTCTTGGGGAGAAGAATGTCCAAGTCACAGTCTTTCTGTTGCTTTCACAGCTGAAGTCCAAAGCGAGATTGAGCGGATCTTTGAATTGGCTAAGTCCTTGCAATTGGTAGTGCTGGATGCAGACACCATCAACCACCCAGCCCAGCTGGCCAAAACCTCTCTGGCTCCCATCATTGTCTATGTCAAAGTTTCTTCCCCAAAGGTGAGCTGGGAATACAGGAATACAGCTTTGCTCACATCCAACACCAGCCTTCTCGGTGGTGCTTCCTTCTGCCCCCTTGTGGTGTTCCCTTGTGATGCTCCTGGGATTACAAAGCTCTAAGCCAGTGTTTCCCAACCTTAGCCATTTTAAGATGTGTGGACTTCAACTCCCAGAATACCCCAACCAGCAATGCTGGCTGGGAAGTGGTGGGATTCATCCAGTTCGCACCACTTCGGCAGAACCAGTAGCTAATATTTTGTTGCCCAGTCCCAGAATGGACTTCTGGAAGCGGCATCCACACAGAGAACCGGTTGTTCACATATTTGAATCCCACCACTGTGGCTGGGGTGTTCTGGGAGTTGAAGTCCACACATCTTAAAATGGCTAAGGTTGGGAAACACTGCTCTAAGCCTTATTTAACAAATCTTTAGAACAGCCCTCACAACAGAGAAACAGTTGCTATCCAAATAAAGTTAGCAAGTCAGAACAATCTTTGAATACCACACACAGAGAAAAAGTCCCCTCCCATTCCTTCTCTGAATTCTGCCTGTCACGTCCATTCTCTGCTTGAAAAGATTCCAGGTGCCTGTTCCATAGTTGATGGTGATGGAAAATACTTCAGTGTTTTATGCTAAAGCTGCTTGTAACAGGGTGACCTGGATTGCTCTGCCATTCTGTTTTTAAGGGAATTTTATTGGAAATGGTTATTTTCCATGATAAGAAGAAAAGGCAGAGTGATGCCAGCCTTGATCTCTGAGTGAATACACAGCCTGGTAGTCTCAAAGATGCTTTTTCTTGAGAAAGTCCAGTTGCCTTTTGTAAAAAGCACCTTTAGGATTACCAGGCTCTATATTTTGTAAAAAACACCTTTGGGACAACCATGACCTGGATGATTGAGAATCTCCATAGACATAGAGCCTGATAGCTCCATAACTAGCTGGTCTTCACAGCTACCATATCAGAAGAAGAAGCCACATTAGTTAAGAGAGCCCCCTCTCCTTAGGAAGCCCTTGTTCATTTCCCACAAGGGCAATCAACCTTTGGGTGATTGTGGGCTATATATCCTAGTTAGGAATAGCCGAGACTACAGTGCATGAGGGAGGGAGTCAAAGGGATGTGGACCAGACTGTTGCTTGAGGGGCAGACTTTGGAGATGTCTGTTTTTCAAGTTATTTTAGCCAACTCATATTGACTATGTAACTTTTTCACACACACCTTGCCTCAGAATAGCTGAAAACTGTAACACCAACATTGTATATTTGTACAGAGGAATATTTGACTTTCTGTGGACCAAGGAAAAGGGGCTAAGGACACATATGAGGTGGAGCTGCAGCCATATGGCTCAGCAGATCCATAGTTTTCTTAGTCGCAAGCAGCAATTGGCTGAGGCTGAGGAAAGGACTTGAATGTTCTCGAATGAATGGTCCTATCAAGAAGGCCACATTCATTCTTCGGCCATGGTCTTTCTTATGTACAGCAATAGCTCTAGATGAGCTCTTCCTAATGGAGGCACCTACCAGATGTTGGAGTTAAAGACTCCCAAGACAAGCAAGTAAGACTATTCTTGAGAATTAGTTAACCCACTTGGAGTTTCTTAAGTTTGGGTAAGGGTGCTCTAGATAAAGATAAAGATAAGATAACCTTTATCATTTTTTTTACTGTGGGCACAACGGCACACATCAAAAATGAAATTTAGTTGCCAGCTCTCAAAGTGAAACACATACATGACACACACCTAAATATACTATGTATAACGTATGTATAGACCCACATCCCTACATATACATAACAAATAAATATTAAACACTGTCCATCTTGAATATATAACGGAAGGAGGAAGCTTGAGAGTTCACAAGGTTAATGCTATATGGAATGAAACTATGGCTGAATCTGGATATTCTGCTGTGGATACCACAAAGCCTCCTCCCAGAAATTAACAAGGAAAACAGGTTGTGAAGAGGATGTGTAGTGTCCCAGATAATCTTACAGACCCTGCTTAAGCAACGCTTCTCTACTATGTCCTGGATGGGAGGGAGGGAACTGCCAATGATCTTTTCGGCCATCCTCACCACTCTGCACCGCCTTCCTGTCTGAAGCAGTGATGCTTCCAACCAGACTGTGATGCTGTATGACAGGATGGTCTTGATCGTCCGTGTAGAAAGTGGTAAGGATAGGAAAAAGAAGATGTGCTTTTCTCATGCAATGCAGAAAATGCAGGCGCTGCTGTCAAACTTGCGACGTCACGTGACATCACGCGATGTATTGTGACTTTTTCCCGATTGCTGGCAATGGGGTGGGCATGGTTTTGGTGTGATGCATTTGGCCCGTGGGCCGGCAGTTTGACATGCCTGCTCTAGATGTATTCTAATCCTTAACCCAGTCTGTTACTAAGACATTATAGCAGCCCTAGCTTTCATGTGGTGACTTTGAGCTCTTTGCCTGTATCTTCTTTTTCTGTGGAAGGTGTTGCAACGCCTTATTAAGTCCAGAGGGAAATCACAGGTGAAGCATCTTAATGTTCAAATGATGGCTGCTGACAAACTTGTCCAATGTCCTCCGGTGAGTCTTTTATGCATAATATTTTCGATTCCTCTCCATCCTCCTGGTCCTGGCTCTGCTTGTGTCCACTTTGATGGCATAAATTTGGTGACTGTTCAAAATGACAACATCACTGAAAAAAGTAACTTATGACCAATTTTCACACGACCATTGCAGCATCCCCATGGTCACACGATTAAAATTCAGCCAGTTGGCAACTGGCTTCTATTTATGACTGTTGCTGTGTCCCATGGTCATCTGATCCCCTTTTGCGACAAGCAAAGTCAATGGGGAAGCCAGATTTGCTTAACAACTGTGTTACTGACTTAGCAACTGCAGTGATTCAGTGATAACAACTGTGGCAAAAAAGGTCATAAAACGGGGCAAAACTCCCTTAACAAATGTCTCACTTAGCAATGGAAATGTTGGGTTCGATTGTGGTCGTAAGTCGAGGACTACCTGTAGTTTGCAATGTCTAGCATCCATACAGGGAATATATACGCAAGTTCTCAGTTAATAGATTTGTTTACTCAGGAATCCAGGCTGCCCATGAATTTTGGGGAACCATCGAAGTGTTAAATTTACAGTGATAGTTCTGTACCTGTTTTAAGAGAGATGTCATTTTCCAGGACTTAATCATGGTCACTACTGAACACTGGTACGATGCCTCAGCAGTTGCTGCCTCTGTTCCAGTCCTCCTTTGCCTACTGCCTTAAAGATGTGTGGGACCAGAATTTCGATTCTTCCCCTGCCATTGTTGTTCAGGTTTGAGATGATGGGAGCAGGAATACAAGGCAGGTAGTCTTCAACTTAGGACAGCAATGGAAACTTCCCATTGTGTTTGTAAGTTAAAAAGTAGGTCATTAAGTGACCGTCCCAATTTTATGACCTTTTTCACAGCGGTCCTGAAGCAGGTTCGTTAAGTAAATCTGCAGTTGTAAAGCAGATGTTGTGGTTGCCAAGCAAATCCATTGTTCGCCATGAGGTGCTTTTGTCAAAAACTAGAAGAAAATGCTGGTTTTTGGCAAAAACATAAAATTGCAGTCAGAGAATTGCGGGATGCTACAAGTGGCTGTAAAGTCAGGCCAGTTGTCAAGTGCCCGAAATGCGGTCATGTGACTTCAGGGGAGGGCAGCCAGTGAGAATTTTACCAGCGGGTTGTAAATACCTTTTGGGAGTCTGTTGTAACTTTGAACAGTTGCTAAGTGACTGGTTGTAAGTTGCGGACTAAGCCAGATAGAGATGGCAGCAAGACAGATTGTAGTGCAGTTTTTAACTCTTACTCCTTCCTCTTCCTTTTTATCTTTGCTGTTTGTTGCCCCCAAGGAACTCTTTGATGTGATCCTAGATGAGAACCAGCTGGAGGATGCTTGTGAACATCTGGCTGAGTATCTGGAGGTTTACTGGCGAGCAACCCACCACCCTGCACACAGCCTAGGGAGCCAAAATCTCCTGACTCCTTCCACTGCCATTCCTGGCCTGCAGGTACGACAAATTGCCTTCTTGCCCCAGCTGAAAAGTCTCCCTAGTACAACATCCAGTTTCTAGCAGTGAGTGAGACAGACATTTTGAAGCTTCTATGGGGACTCCAAAGGCAATAGGCTATCTTTGTTTCCAACCATTGGGTATTGCTCTTATATTGCCCCCAAACTAATCTTCAAGTGGTGCAGTGAACCTTGGCCCCTCCAGGCTTTGGACACCAGATGCCATTAGCCATTGCCGGCATTGCTAGTGGTAATTCTTTGTGTCCAAAAATATTTTGACTGGCAGAGGCTTTCTTTGAGTTATTCTCTTAGAGCAGTGGTTCTCAACCAGTGGGTCGGGACCCCATTTGGGATCGAACGAGCATTTCACGGGGGTCGCCAAACAACGCAGTCTGCCATTTTTTTCCCCCTTTTCCTTAGCTGTGTTACTCCGTTTTATTCTATTGGCTTTTGAAAGCCAATAGAATAGACTCTCTTGAATAGAGTCTAATTCTATTGGCTTTCAAAAGCCAATAGGAATTGTCCAGGCTGTCTCTGCCCTGCTGAGCCCGCCAAAAGTCCCATTATGCAAACGGTGCTGCACCAGTTGAGTAGTCCTCGACTTACGACCGGTTGAGTAGTCCTTGACTTACGACCGGTTGGGGGTCGTGGCATTAAAAAGGTTGAGAACCACTGTCTTAGAGAATGTCTATGGAGATTCTCAGTCATCCAGGTCATCTCTTAGAGAATCTTCAACTAGCTGCACTTCATTCCAAAAAGCTAACTTTGGGTGAAGATGAGGAGACCAGTATAGAGGTTGTTCTTGATTTAGGAACACATTTGGGACCAAAACTTCTGTTGCTAAACAAGCCGATTGTTGAGTGAACCAGGATCGATTTTATTAACCCTTTTTTGCTGCAGTTGTTAAGCAAATCACTGTGGTTAAGTGAATCACATGGTTGTTAAGTGAATCTGGCTACCTCCGTTGACTTTGCTTGTTGGACGTTGGCTAGGAATCTTGCAAATGGTTTCAGAATTTTGATCATGTGACCATGAGGACACTGCACTGGTTGTAAATGTGCGAGGATCAGTTTTAAGTTACTTTTTTTCAGTACAATTGTAACTTTGTAGGGTCACTAAATGAATGGCTATAAATCAAGGACTACCTATACAGCTAAAAAAAACCAAACCAACAACAACATCCAGCCTCATTAACTCGTGAAGAAATATAAGCAAATTTATTCTGTTTCTCCTAGCTGATTGATTTGATTAAAATGTTTGTAGGGAGACTAATTAGTGTTGAAGCAAAGAATCAGGTAGTCCTAATCCAATTGAAATGTCTTGATCATAAATCCTTGGAATTGGAAATAGAATGTATGAGCCATAACCCTATCCTGTACAAATAAAGAATAAATTGCAGGGCACTGGTAGAATTTATTTCTGGTCCACTTGCAAGGTTTCAGTAGTTTTGGTGAAAGTGTAAGTGCAATGAACAATACTATAGATGGATGGGGATCCTCAGTCTAGTCTACTCATATAGAAGCTCTTCGAGGGAGCAAATTAAGGGCTGAATTCCAGCCCAGCTCTGTCTGTCATGTTGGGAGAGCACCAGGCAGCGGAAGGCTTGCTAATGCCTTCTTTCTGTGGTTCCTTCCCACAGAGCCAGGCCCCAATGGGTGAGCACGAGAGTGAGCGCTCCCCGGTGGAGCATGATAGTTTGATGCAACCTGACGAAGTGAGTGATGCCTCGCGCAAGACATGGACGGCATCCTCTCAGCGCAGCTCCCGGCACCTGGAGGATGAATACTCTGACGCCTACACTGACCTGTACCAGCCTCATCGCAACCACAACAGTGGCCTCCGCAGCACCAACGGCCATGACTCGCAGGACCGTCTTCTGGAGCGCGACTCTGAGCACAATCACAATGACAGAAACTGGCAACGCAACCGGCCCTGGGCCAAAGATAGTTATTGAAACTTCCTGGCCAGGCATCCAGGGACACAAGACACAGCTGCTGCTGTCTTTGCCATCTCCCAAACTGAATTAATCTCAAGCCTTTGTCTCTTTCACTTTGTAGCTGAGCCCCACAGAGTGCAGGTCCTGCCCCAATACACAGGTGCTATCTAGGGAAGCCCAGACGTAGCCATGGCTGCCTAAAAGAGCTTGGGTGATTTGTCTGGTCCTCCTTCACTTTGGATTATGAAGGCCATGGTAATATCTTTGCAGGGTAAACTTCATATCCCGGTTCCATTTTGGGTGGGGTGGGGAGGTTAGGAGTAGCATTGGGCTTCTGAGGAAGAAAATTTTTCCAAAAGAGAAGCTGATTGCAGCTCCTTTTTTAACTGAGCAGGAGATCAGAGCTGAAGATTACAAGGGAGAGAGTAAGCCAAGCATGTAGAGACCTTAGGATGAGTTTACTTCTTCCAAGCGGGAGGCCCAGAGCCCCACTTTTTGCCTAGCTATACGGTTAGACTTGCGTGCACATGTCCCAAGATCTGTCCGGAAATTGAGGTTGGTGTAGATAACTAAGATTTCTAATTAAGAGGGATGCGCTCTAGAAATTGATATGAACAGCTAATGCTGACTCAATTACAGGGCGTGATCTTTATGGCATTGGCAACCATTTTGCACAAATGCTTTGGTGAATCATGTGCAATAAGCAGCAGGCGAAACTGAGCTACACTATTTCAGCCTGCGTAAAAAGAAGTAATACATCAGGAAGAAGGTAGAACTAAAATGCTCCCTGACATTGAACGTTCTGCATTTGGGGGACTTAGTTTCATTTAAAGTTGAAATGATGAAAAAATCATTCAGCTATGGCAGGGTGATCTAAGAGATTATTGATAAAGTTATCAGCTGCTAATTTGGATATAATCCAGGTGTCACAAGGCCAAAAGACATCTATGTGGCAGTGGCTTTTCTACAAGAATATTATAAATGTTTATGAATATCACTGAGAGGGCTACACAGCTTCCATCTTCTGTTACCCTTGCAACTATCGATAGATGAATAGGGCCAGATACAAAAGAAACAAAAATTGCTTCAGATTTACCTAAGGTTCTCTTGGTTTCCATATTCTTTTATGTAATTCTCATGACCTTGAAGCAAAGTTATTGAGTCTAAGGAAGTTGAGATGCAAACTGTACTGTGCACTAGCACATGTAATAAAGCCTCAAGGCTTTAGCAAGAACATTTGGTAGAGCAGCAGCACAAGAGAGGGTTAGCCCTTTCCATCCTAGCTCCAGAGTATTCTCTGTCCAACATATCCCAGCCAGCTGGCTGCCTTTTCTAGGTGGAGTGTTAGATCCAAAGGGGGAGCCTTCAGCAGAGAAAGTTATTTTGCACAGAAAATAGCCAATGGGGAAGGATTTAAATAGGCCTTTTCCTAACCTTTGCTGGCCTTCGAATCTAGTTCATCCCCAAAAGAGTGAAAGCCTTGAAACCCTTGTTTCTTTGCAACCACAACCCAACGCTCAGCCTTGTTCCTCTTGTCCTGTTAGGTCCTCTCCTGCACAGTCACTTCTGTTAGAGGACTAGGGGAAGACATTTTTAAAGCCACAGTATGAGATGCTTAAGTCTGTATCCGCCTCACTTTTTCCAAAACTCCTTGCTAATTGCATGCAACCTTGATCTTCCACCTTCCACTTGTGTTGCGGGAAGTGGAAGGAAGATGAGGTACCTAGTATCGGTGGCTCCTGCTCTTTCATGGTGACTCCTACCCTCAGCACTTTGGGCTTCCATCTTGTGGAAGTGGCCTACGGCTATAGCCATCCTACTTCCTGCTTTTTCTAACGCGCAAACCCTGCTCTTCCATTCCCCTCTTCCATTCTCTGGGCAGTGGGTGGCAACCCCTTCCTTTTCAAAAGCACGTACAGCTATCAGAAATCAGCCTGTAAATATTGCCCACTAGCATTGGGAGTTGTGTTGAGTGTCTGTTGTACCCCTGGATGGTCCAGAGCCAAAGGGGAAATGCTCATCCCTCTTGTGGCTTAGGTGGTTTGAGGACAGGGAAATGTTTCTATCCCTGTGGTGGTGGTTTGATGGGCTGCTGCAACAGCTTTGTTACTCTTCTTTTGTAGAGAGCACTTATTTCCCCAAAAACTTGTAAGCCGTTTGAAACAACAAGCATTTGCTATTTATAACATGTGGCTGAGTGGTTATTATTTTGAGTACAGATGTGAGGACATTGGAATGGAGAGAACTCAAGATGGTGTTTTGATTGGTATGAACACCCATCCCTGATGCAACATTAAACCCAGTGTGGTTCTGAGCCAAAGGTTGGGATGAACAGATACCCTATGACTTGAGTGTTCAGAATTGATCTACCACAATTTTCAGTTGGCTCCAGAGCTACTCTTTTCTGGGGCAGGAGTAAGACTTGGACTCCTCTAATTTGTAGGACTTTGGGCTATAGTTCTCAGAGTTCCTTGGGGAAAATCTATTAACAATTACATGGGATACATAAGCCACCCATTAGCAGTATAATTAATTGTCTCAAGAGTTTAGGCACAAGCAGCTTTCGTGTTAAAGTGGCAAAGGTTCAAATACCATAGCCAGAATAAATAAGGCCCTCTTGGTTCAAATGGCACTTGTGCAAAGGAGAGTAAAAACCAGGTAGGTCAATGAATGGGTTGCAATCAAGCTCTTGATTGATTTACCCATCCATTGCATTCAACCTAGGAAAAGTGCAGATTGAGTAGCATCTAACCTTCCTCAAATAATAACTGAAACACTGTAATTGCCTTTTAATTAAAATGTCAGATATCTGCCTATTAACCACCATATAAATAGCATTTCTGCTTGTTCTCTATGTATCAGTTCTCACTTTCAGAAATATTAGAACAAACCTAGCCTAACATCAACTTTTCCCTACGATAGGTATCCGTCAGAAGTCATCTTCTGAAGGGCTACTCCTTTCCATTCACAAAATTCATTTTGATGATTCTCACTTTGAACATTATCATTTTGAGGAGTGGGCACCTATAGAAAAGCTCACCATTTCTGGCTTTCAAGAAATGTTTTTAAAAGCGATGGTCTGGAAAGTTAGCTTGTTGCAATACTAGGTAGCCTGTAAAGCCACCCCTTTGCCCCCCCCCCCTTTTGGTACAAATTGCCTTTAAAGTGCAAACCTAAATAAAGGTACTTAACTAAAACACATCAGTTGCAACAAGACAAGCTCATTCTAGAATGCACTGTTGCTTAACAAATATCTGTTCTAGTTTTAGTCCCGCCGTAGCCATGGAAGCCAATTGGGTGACCTTGGGACAGTCATTCTCTCAGCCCAACCTACCTCAGGGGGTTGCTGTTGTGGGGATAATAGGAGGAAGATGCATTGAAGATTTTGCTTGAGTTATTTGTAAAAATAATAAAGGTGGGACATAACTAAATAAATACATTGGGGATGAAAATTGAGAACAATCATGCTCATAAGTATAGATACTTAAGTTTCAGGTTGTGCAATTTTGCATAGTTGGAGATTCAGTACAAGAAGCTTTTCCAAGACATTTCTCAAGCTTGTGCTGCTGAGTTGATGAACAGCCAGGAATATCACCTTAAGAGCATGAAAGTGTACATAAACAGGAGGCTCTATAGTAGCACTAATATAACGTACGGCACAATTGAAAACCTTCATCCTCAAACTCCTGGTATAATAGTAACACTAGTTTGTTGTAATAATGCAACAAGAGAACCCAACATTTGTCTCAACTACAGGTAAATTTTCCTGAGACTTTTGAAACCGATGTTGAAACGTAGCTATTTTGCACATGGTTATCACCGATAATCATTAAATGAGAATTGGTCAAGGGAGTTTTCCCAAATTCAATTTACAACCTATCTCAGAAGAAAACTCTAGCAACTACTGCAGAAGAAATTATTGGCTTTTCAGGAAACAAGACCTTTCCTTGATTTCTCCAGACTTCTCAGTTTAAGTATTATTTTGCTACAAGCAATGCTGCTTGTAAAATAGCATAGCATTAAGCAGCCAACTTATTCTTAGTCTAATTGATAGTCCTTTTAGTAGAACTGCTTCATTTAGTAGAACTGCTTCATTTAGTAGAAAGCAGCAGCACAGCTATGGCAGCAGTATTACAGCTCTTTACGACGTACATATTTCTACTTGTGAAAAACCAAGAATAAACAGGCAGAACAATGTTTCATATGGATTTATAGTAATTGTTTTTCAGATCATTGAAAAAAAATAGGAGTCTTTCTGTACATTACCTGCCCTTTCTATGTGGGCAGGGGGGCAGTTCTAGATAAAACAAAAACACAATTGAATAGAAACATAACAGCTTAGGTTTAGAAATGAAGAGAAGTCCTCATTGGAGCAGGAAAAGAGGATCTGGAGAAGTAGATGATCACAAACAGAATTCCCCTCTTCATTGGGCCAAGCCCCCAAAGTCCTTCTTGTCTGATTTATGGAGAAGATGGCAAATGTAGAAGTCGACAGCTGAATTCCCTCTCCCTTCAAATATGTTTGGAAGAATCAATCAAGAAGGCAAGATTGCTAGCCATTCTCAATCACCACAACAAAAAGAAATATAAGTTTTCTATAGACATCTTCAAGAAGAAGAACATTAAACGATTTGTGGAGATCAAGATTTGCAAGATGATACCCTATCTCTTGGAGAAATGTTCCCATTGTTCAGTCTTCAATGCAGGGTTATCATATATATAGTGAGAGAAGTGTATTTACGTTCACAGAAAGTGAGAAAATGAAACAGCCACTTCACTGTTAAAGACTGGAAGAGCCACTATGCTTTACCCTGTGTCATTCTCTAGACCTCAAATGGTGGTCAAAGGGTGCCCCCGATTATAATACCAGGGGGGGGAGGGCTCTTTGTAGATTAGCTGCACACTCAGGCAAAGATAGTCTCCTCCCGACGCTTCTTTGTGAGGATGGTTCCTGGTTTGTGTTGGGCATCTGGATGGTTGGCCAGTTCTGGGGGGCATGAAGACACTGGACTCTCAAGGATAGCTTGCTTAAGGTCATAGAAGACAGCAGAGTCCTCTTTGGTTACAAAAGAAATAGCTACCCCGCTTTTCCCAGCTCGTCCTGTTCGACCAATGCGGTGGATGTAATCTACAACAAAGAAGAATTAAGTTGTCAAGGCACAGACACTGCTGGTATATCAGATGCAATTTGGAGACCTAGCACAGAGTTCCCCAACCTATCCAGCCTTGCGGACAGCGCGGGGGGGGGGGGGGATGGTTCCATGCGAGCGGCTAGCAAGTTCACACGTGCAGCTCCATTTGCACGAGTGGTATGCATGTGTGCCCGCTGCTCACGCAAATGAAGTATGCATGCATGCGCTTGTCTATTGCTCGTACAAGTGGGGATGCGTGTGGACACGCTCGCCTGGTATTTCTTTGGCCTGGTTGCAAACGCCTCATGACCCACTAGTGGGCTACGGTCCAGAGATCAGGGACCCCTGACCTATCAAATTCTGGAGAATCATAAGGCTAAGAGAAGCATAACGTTTAAGAAAGCAATAAGCAATATATAGAGCACTTCAGGGCTCAAAGTGCTTTCCATACATTATTTCAACAATCCTGGTACTAGCTTGTAAGACAAAGTGTCGAGTGGTACTGCTTTGTAAAATCTGTCTAATAAGAATGCAACCGGAAGATGATTTAAATTACATATTTTATGGCTTATGTATTTTTCCATAATTCACCATCAGCAATGTACTGCTAGAAGAATTCACATCTCTATGGGAGTGACTGGGGGTAAATCTAATATTCCAATCCCCCTGCCTTACTGGTATTCCCACATGCTCACAAGCACTAGTTTGTCCAGATTTCATTCAGAGAAAAGAACTAAAGAATCTTCCACAGAGGGGGGAACTTGAATGAAAGGAAAAATAAAGCATAGCTTACCTTCGATGTTTTTAGCCATATCATAATTCACCACCATGGACACATCCTGAATGTCAATACCACGACCGGCTACATCTGTGGCCACCAAAATGTCCTTGGCACCAGCCTTCAAATTGGAGAGGGCAAATTCACGCTGCTCCTGGCCTTTACCACCATGAAGGGTGCAAGCATTGTACTGTAGAAATAGGGAGAACAACACATTAAGAAAAGCCAAATCGTTGTAGCAGGGGTGGTGGTGAAGAGAAGTGAGCGGGAACTAATACTGATTATTTCAAAGGCACAGATATTTGAAAGGGGGACTGCAGCGGAATTAGTTCCATCAATTTCCATATGATTTTAGAGCTATCTTGCAAGTTATGTTAGGAATAAAAATAATTGGCAATCAGCAGAGACAGTTCGTCTTTTAATAACAAATTTCCTAGATGAAAAGACAAAGAGTTGCCTATGAAATTCATGAAAACATACTGCAAATTATTTACTCAACAACCGACAGCAACAGAACAGAAGAGAGAGATGTCCAAAAAATAAAGAAGACTCCATTCTGGGAGCCTGAATGCCTCAAAAGATGGCCCAGGAAACCCTAACAAGCCTTGATCTCAACAAACATTTGCAATTTTGTAACTCTAAATAGGATTGTGACTCACCCCCATTTTCTCCAAAGATTTGGCCAATACATCACAGCCCTTCTTCTGGTTGACAAAGATGATAATGGGTGGATCAAAACCTTGCTCCAAAATAGCCAGCAGTTTCTTTCTGCGTAAATGAAAGGGGAAAAATGGTAAGGAATACACAGGAAGTAGGATCTTTCAGTTGAGACTGGACGGTATCACGTATTAAACCGAAATGTCCTGCTGCATTCTAGCTTTCTGCTCTAGTACTACATTTATGTCACAGTATGCTGAAGCCTTTTTCATCCCTGGGCCACCATTTCAGGAACAGTTTAATACCCTGTCACGTGGAAGCACAACAGACATAAACCTGCCTTGGAATATGCCCACATCATTTATTTCAAATGGAGACACAAAGAGCAGACATGAAGAAAAACCCTAAGGCAATTAACGACAGAATACTCATCTGTTGGTACATGTTAAAAATGTCTTCAAAATATTTTAATTTGTAATGGGGAGATTTTTATCTAAAATATCAGAGGAATGCATGTCGTGTAAGCAGAGGGTAAGCAGCACAGGACTGCTCTCCAATGAGTGAGAAAGATGCATTTCTGCTCCATTAGGGGCAGGGCACGGGGATTTTCACTCAAGAAGGTAGAGTGCTTATGGACATGTTGAACTAGAGATCAATGGGTCTCCTCTGGACCAGCCCTCAGGGGATGCCAATTAAACTTTAAAAACATTTTGAAGTAAACTTGACTAGTAAATGCAGTAAGTGTTCAAACTAACTAGCTTTCCATTGAATAAATATACAAATTATAAGTGTATGAGTAAACCAAATTATCCATACAGGTAATGCTCTCTTAACAAACCATTTGAATTAATGATGGCTCCAGAGAAGGACCTGTAAAGCACTTCTCACTGTTGCAAAATATTGCATACACCCTACGCAGTCATGTGATGGCGATCTCAATGCTTACCAATCTATTTGCATTTACGACTGGATTTAATCTCCACATGGAGCTGAAATTCTTTGGCAGGCAGGTCTTTTGCACCATCCACTTAATGACCCAGGAGACTGCTTAATGACCAAAACTGGGAGTGCCAGGATTGCGGTAATTCAACAGCAGTCATGTGGGTGTCTCACTTAACAATCATTTCGTTCAATGACCAGGATTCTGGCCTCAATTGTGATTGTTAAGCAAGGACTATCTGTAATGCAGTTTAATTTCTTAAAATAGGGAAGCAAATTTAGTTTAATAAATGGTGGCAGAAATGAATATTGGATATATTTCTTTTTTTTTCCCCAGTCCTGTTTTTTTCTTTAAAAAAAAGAAGAAAGAAATGGAACAAAACTCAATTGTTTTACCTTTAAAATTTCTGGAAAATTTATGTCTTTAAACAAGCTCAAGTTCCCATCCTTCACCTCCCATATTAATATTTACCTTTTCTCTGATTCCGACATGAGGAAGACCTTTTGCTCCACACGCTCATGTGGCTTGCCAGCTGAGCCAATATACACCACAGCTGGCCGGCGCAAGTAACTGCGTGCCAGACGTTCCACAGCAGGTGGCATGGTTGCTGTGAACATCACAGTCTATCATGGAAGCAGACACAGAGAGAAAGAAATAATATGCACAAAGATTCTTACTCGGTAGTACTTTTCTTCCTCTTATTCTACAGAACAAAAACCCCTTTTCTAAAAAACACTCTTGAGAGGTTTTCCCTATTCAGAAAGCCTTTTTCCTTTGTACTAAGACGTTTGAATTCTCAAGTGAAAAAAGCTTCCTAAGCATTATAGACTGCAATTAGCAAAAATAGTTCCATAATTACCACGACCATTCAACTCCCAGCCCGAAGAAAACTCCTTTTAATCATGGGTAGTTCTCATTTACATTTGAAAGCTGATCATATGAGATTAAGGGGAGGATTCTGGGTCAAAAGATACAACTCAGTTTAAATTGCTTAAAAAAAAAAAGAAACCCAGAGTTGGTAACAAGACATTCAAGCGCCACCAACCTGTCGGTATTTATGCTTGCCCGATTCAAAATTGGCCAGCATCTTCTCTGGGTCCTCAGCCTCATCGGTATCTGGTTTCTGATTAGTAACAGGCATGTGCTCCAGAATCTTTTGCACATCAGGTTCAAAACCCATGTCAATCATACGGTCAGCCTCATCCAATACCACATAGGTACAACGGCTCAGCACCAGGTAGCGGTTCTCCAACACATCAATCAATCGGCCAGGTGTGGCAATCACAATCTGGAATTCAGAGGGAGAAAGGCACTTGTGTCTGCCCTGCCACTCAAGGCCCAAACCAATCCTTCCCTTCCCTCCTCTAACAAGTTCTGGAAGCAAAGTACTTCTCAAGAGTTTGGTCTAGTCAGGATATGGAGCCAGGCTGGGGAGTTAAGGAAATATTAAGCTATGCATAGTTGTCATTTATTTATTTTTATAAGGGTGCACTTTGCCAATCTATAAAGCAAGCGCTTGTGACCAGGAAATGTGATGAATTTTACTACTGCAATCTCACCTCGCAACCCATGCGGAGGCGGAAGCCTTGGTCCTCACGGGAGATACCACCAATCACAGCCACGGTGCGGATGCCCAGGGGCTTTCCAAACTTAATGGTTTCTTCCTCAATTTGCTGAGCCAACTCACGAGTGGGAGCTAAGATGATAGCGTAGGGACCTTGGTCTGACTCCTCAATCCTGCAGCGATGAAAAATGGCAAGCTGAGTGGTAAACGGTGTCAAACTGAACTGTGAAAACTTGAATTTCTTTTTAACTTCAACATCTTTGCAGTCTAGAGCCAGCTGAATCATCTTGAAACATATTAAAGCACGGTTCTTGTCATTTTCACTCCTGCTTTAACAATGGACTTCCTAGAGTACTGGACTATCAAATTTAATGCGCTCCCATTGGACCAGATTGTTTCTAACCTGCTGTATCTAGTGACAATTGTTGAATGAAGTCATGCAGTTTTTTTACATAGATTGTTTCAATGTTTGTCCTATTGGGGCTTCTTCCAAGTGTACAGAAGTCTACTTATCCAGATGGTGTCCAGTTGGTGAATCATATAAAACAGGAACTCTAATAAGGTCATGGCAGTGAAGGGGGAGGAGGGGAAAGTAGGGGGATTATTTATGCACCGCAATCTGGTTTATATCTAACATGCCTTGTTTGTGAGCTTCCCCAAAGCATCCTGCTGATCTCTGTGGACAACCTTAATGCTGGATTAGATTTTGTCTGACCAAATCTTAACTTCTGTATCAAATTGTGACTATAGTCCTGCACATTCTGCACTATAATCTGGGAAGTGTCATTGATTGTGGAAAAAGCTTCATTCATACACAAAACACTTTTACAGCATTGAATCCCTTAGTGAAATTCTCTATTTTGCCATAACACAAGAGCTAAAAATTCAAGGAAAAGATTTGAGTTTTCCTAGAATGGCCAATAGAACATTGTTTATTGTTTCAGTACTTGATATACATGACAACTATCAACCCCTTAATATTTACTGCTTGCCCAATCTCCAACCTCCTCTATCGAGTTTTCTCCTCCTCCTCCTCTAGAAAGATGTCTCTTACCTATCAATCTTGGGAAGAGTGGTGATCCATACCAGAAGTGGAATAAGGAAGGCAGCTGTTTTACCACTCCCAGTTTCTGCTACACCGATGATATCACGATTCTGCAAACCAATGGGGATGGCTTGACGCTGGATAGGAGTAGGTTCCTGTGCAAAACAAGGAAGAGTTTGTCAAGATACATTTGAGCTCAAGGCACCATTAGCAGAATCCAGGAAATGCAATGTTCAGTTGTAGCTGCCGCCAATCACCACTATCATCCTACTACTTAAATTAAATGTCTTGGATTCTATGTCCATCTGCAATAGTAAGATGAAATTATTTGAAACCCTGTGCAGATTCTAGTTTTAAATTAACATCATATAATAAATCAAAGAACCCATCTGCTTCACAAACTGAACAGTCTCTCACCTTATAGCCACATTTGTCAATAACCTCCAAGATGTGAGGAGGCAATGAGGAGTCTTTCCAGGAACGAATGGGATTGGGAATCTTGCCTCCCTTGGTGGTGATGCTGTAATCTTCACGGAAGATACGCCAGTCCCTGTCTGTCATTTCATCAAGTTTCTTTTGAGACCAGTGCCGATCATCCCATCGCTGCTTAGCCTCCTTTTTACGTAGCTTGCGCAAACGCGCCCTGGCAAAGCAAGGAAGTTTAATCAAGAAATCAGGCAAAATTATTGCAAAAACCAATAAACACAAAAGCAGAAGGAAACACCCCACAAAAATACTCATGGGGAAAATCTTCTTAATTTTCTCCCAAATTAAGAGGGTTTGGTTATCAATACAGCATACAACATACGACAAAATTCATAACATTTCCATCAGTAAAGTTCTTTTAAATTTCTTAGATGAAGGGTGGGGTTTGTTGGGTTTGCAAAACTGTGGCAGAAAAAGAAATTCTGGCTGTTTGATCTTTCCAGTTCTCTGCCTTAGCCTAAGTTCTATTATTTTCTAATAGTAAGTAACTTCTCCACCATTTATTGCAACTGTAATATTTTGCAAAGCATTGCACTAGAATGCATTTACCACTTTCATTTGAACATCAAAATCCAATGAAGCTGTACAAGCATAAACCAGTATCAGCCATAGAGTGAGGATGCTTGTTTTCATCCTTTCAATTCCCAACATCTTTCATCAACCCTGCACGAAACCTACTCTTCTTGTTCCTTCTCTTCCAGCGTTCGCCGCTTCTCCATCAGATCTCCATAGAAACGTGACTGTTCCCGCTTCTGCTGTTTCAAGTCAATGCCAGCGATGAAACCACGCCCCAGCAACTGAACCTGGTGTCGCTCCTTGTACCTTTTAAAGAACATATCAAAAAGCCATGACACATCCTATCATGTAAGCCCTTACTTTTTAAAGAAATTTTCAGAAAGTTAGAAACCTCTAATCTGAAGTTTTGGTTAAACGGTGGAATAAAATTCCATCCTTGAGCTACATAAAATGTATAGGCAGCTTCAATGATGAAAAATGCTCTCTTTTGGTGGCCAGTGCCTTCTGTGCACATATTGTACAATTTGCTGTTTGATTTCTACCAAGCTATCTCACAGCAAATCTAACTTTCTGCTCTCTGTTCCGCATGCTAAATATTTATCCAGGCCTCATGCATATTTTGAATGCCAGCTGGACAGAGCCAAGTGAGATGAGTGGGATAACATCTTGCACTTCAACCCCTGAATCTTTTAAGCTTGTCAAATTTGACGACAAGGCTGGTTCTATTGTAGGAGCTCTGCCACCTTTTTGTTTATATATATGTTCCTCCTGGCTCCTTTGAGTACCTGGGAGGGATCTGTGCAGCTGGGTTTGGGAACAAATTTAACAATCAAATGCAAATGGCCTGCTGACGCAAGTAGACAAAGCAATTTTCCACCAACTACTTAACCTGCACAATTTATATCGATGGGAAATTCTAAATATTTGCAGACCGTCTAGTAAATCTAAATCCTTAAGACTTCCTTATACATTCCTTCCTCACAAAGGTACGTCTGTCCTTGTTCTTTTGCATTATATCAAAATCTGTTTACATGTTCCCTTCATTGGATTCTTCCCAGAAGAAAGAAAGCAGGCATAAATACTTTTTCACTCATAGCTGAGCTGAGACCGATCCATATTATGAAGCAGCATACCCTTCTGAGGCTCTCCTTGAAGAAATACTCACAAAGGATTATAGTCAATAGAAGTATCTTCTGAAGCATCCCATTCAAAGACAAATTTGCGGTCGTTCAAATGTCGAGTGCGTCTCCGCTTCTTGATCCCACCCAAATATCGCTCCTGGCGGGATGAAACATTTTAACATTCCATTTTGGTCCTATTCTATTTTCTCTATGAAGAAACAGTATAGCTAACAGGATCAAACAATGTGTTCATTTCTCTTTCCTATACTGCCAATAGGTAATGGTTGGAAGTGAGAGCTTAATAAATTTGAATAAGACTACTTATGGAGATTCTCAGTCGTCCAGGTCACGGTTGTCCCAAAGGTGCTTTTTAAAGGGCAATTGGACTTTCTTTGTTTTTTTCCCTGAAGATGTTTTGTTTCTCGAAGAGGTTTCTTCAGTTCTGTCAGAATGGTGGGGAATGGGAAGATTTATATGCAATCCTTCTATTCCCCACCATTTAATCAGAACTGAAGAAGCTTCTTGGATAAGAAGCGAAACATCTTCAAGAAAAAAAAACAAAGCAAGCCCAGTTGTCTTTAAAAAGCATTTTTGGGACATCTTGTGGCAGGTATGCAAAATTAAGATTTCCTAATTCACAGTTCAAACCCTTTATCAGTAGCTTTATTCATCTAGAGGTAATCTCTAAGCTGTGTTTATCTTGGGACTCATATATGGTACATATAAGAAGAATGGACTTTAGAAGCCAAGATTCATGAGAGAGTTGAAAGAACTACTCAGAACCAACTTGAATTTAAAGATATTCCACTGAACCCTATTCCCTTTTGAACAAAGGCTGCAACTGCTCAAGCCAGCAAGCATTACTTTGATGGCATGCAGCTCCTTGGTCTTGTCTTTCTCCTCACGGATTTTTTGCCGTCCTTCCTCATCTTCATTGCCATTGGTCTCTCGTTCCATGCGCTCCCTGCGCTCACGCCGCTCTCTCTCCTGAGGGTCTTCTGCAAGTAGGGAAAATAGGAAGATTTTCACAAAATTAATACTGTATCAGAGACACTAACTCTGAGCATATAATGGGCTGATAAATTACACAACACCCAAGGGAAAAAATATATATACCCAGCATTTTTCTTCCCATTTCTTGGAATTGCTTTCTCTTTTTTCTCTCTTCTTCCAGGAACCGCTGTCGTTCCTCGACTTCCTGCTGCCGACGCTTTAAGGCCTCAGCCTCTCGCTCGGTCTTAGAAAGGAACTTGGGCTGCAACGAATCACAAGCAGGTGAATACAAAGAAACATCTTTTTGTTGAAGTCGTAAAAAAAACAACCCCAAAAATAATGCTGAGACACATTTAGACTGCTACAATCTGTTTTTCTCTAACTTGGTGCTCTTTAGGAACGCTAGACTATAAGCCCCACCCTACCCCCAAATTTTCCCTGAGGTAAATACCACATCAGACTGGTCTGCAATAGTCTGCTGGAATCCAATATGTCTTCCAACAGGCTTTCCAAAAGTTAATTGATATCTGGAAACAGAGAAAGTGCAGATATGCTCCTTGGACTAACCTTAGCTTCAGCCTCTTCTTCAGCTTTCTTCTTGGCCAGCAGCTCCTCCAGAGAAAGTGGCTGAGCCTGTGAACAACATTGGCACTCACTGAGGCACCAAGAAAACTCACTAAAAAGAGGAGCTGCTATTATAAAAGCTAAGTGGCTTTCGACATGACGAGAAAAGAGCAGCCCACAAAATTGAGAAAAGAAATATCAGAAGAATACAGGTAATCCTCGTATTCAAATGAACGGCCAGTTCATTTGATGGCCGTTCAAAATTACAACTGCACTGAAAAAAGTGACTTATGACCGTTTTTCACATTTACAACCATTGCAGCATCCCCGTGGTCATGTGATCAAAATTCAAACGTTTGGCAAGTAACTCATATTTATGATTGTTGCAATGGCCTGAGGTCATGTGATCACCTTTTGCAACCTTCTGACAAGCAAAGTCAATGGGGAAGCCAGGTTCACATCACAACTGCAGTGATTCACTTAACATCTATGGCAAGAAAGGTTGTAAAATGGGGTATTTTGAAAATTCACTTAACTGTTTCACCTAGCAGCATAAATTTTGGTCTGAATTGTTGTCATAAGTTGAGGACTATCCATATATTCTTTTTAAGCAGATCACAGAAAAGAATTATTCTTTTAAATCAGAATGCATTTTTGACCATTATTATGAACGATCAAGATGCATGCAGTACCTTTTCCTTCTTGGACAATGAATCATCATCTTCATCTTTGCGAGCATCTCTATCTTTCCTTGACTTGGAATCTTTGTTCCGACTTGGGGAGGTGCTCCTGAAGCAGAGAGAGAAAAGGGTCAAGAGGGAACATCCTTGCTCCGCTACAGTCAGAATACATACATTTCACCTGGCACTGATAAAACAAAAATATTTATGTGTCAGTGTCAGGCCTCTCTCTCCCTTGGGAAGAATGTCATTCTGTTTCTGATATCACATACTTGTAAAATTTAATGCTTCTAAGTACTCATCTATCAGAAAATACCCAGAATGAAAATATGTTTCACCCTTTCCCAGCTGCAATTGTGCTTTTTATTGCAGGGTTTAGAGACTTGAAAATTATCCCCATATTGTCACAAAATTGGAAAGAATTTGACACCATGTCAATAAAGGAAGGCATGTGACAAACAAAATTATGGAGCCACACTATTAAAATATACTCCACAGACTTCCTAAATGCATTTTTCAATTATGACTTCATTTTAAAGGCAAACCTTGGGCCAAGACAAGATACAGTAGATGCCTCTCAGTGTCCTATGCAAAATATATGTACTAGAAGACCACTAACAGTATTTTTTAAAAAATCATTCAGCAAGAGATATTGGTCCATTTAATCAAAGCTGATTTCTGAATAGTGAGGAGCCAGCAAGACAACTTACTTAACAAATTTTCTAGTCTTATCATAGCTGGAATACAATTTCAGCAAGTGTTCTCTCTTAAATCTTGAATAAAATGTATTTGATTTCTTAATTCTTGTAAACCAGTGACGGTTATCTCTAGGCCTCTAGATATTGTTGCATTACTCTAAGCATCCCTCTAGAATTACTGCAACATCTCTTTCTTTCTCTCAATGTTTTACCTGGATCGTTTTCTGTCTCTTCGATGCCCATCTTTGTCCCGGTCTCGATCTTTCTTATTGCGTTCTCGTTCTTTGTCTCTTTCCCTCTCTTTATATCGCCGTTCTCTACAAAGATATGATTTGCAAGAAAAGTGCCTCTTAATACATGTCGCTCCAACCAATGCTTCTCGTTCCATTAAGCAGCAGAAGCCTGATGCCTTTTGCTTAAATTCTGGAGAGTTTATTTACCAAACAAATCAAATTCTGAAAGCAACCTTCTCTATGATCTTCTCATACCCACCAAACCAGCTTCTGTAGAAATACAGTTGTTGAATTTACACAGGAGACAAAAAAGCAGAAATTGTCAACAAATACATAGTCTCTCTCTCTCTCTCACACACACACACACAGAGGGAGAAAGATGCCAATTTCGATGCCACTGTGATAGAACTTAATTTGACAATGAATATAAAAACCACACTCTTATCTGAGCAATCAAATTAAAGTACATTTCCTATTATCATTCAAAATGGATCAAATCAAGTTATCCTAATGACAAAACAGACTGAAAAAGCCACCTCTCCATATAATGATGCATGTTACCTCTCAGCTGATTTGGATCTAGATCGGGATCTTGATCGACTGCCTCTCCTCCTGTCACGAGAGCGGTGTCGTTTTCTATCCTTTGCAACAGGAGAGGCTTTTCTATCACGCTCCCGTTCACGATCTCGTTCTGCTGACCGTGAGCGCCTCCGCTCTTCTTTGATGGGTGAAGAATCTCGCTCTCTCTTTTCAATAGTTTCCCCAGCCATCTAGATTAGGAAGATAATATTAATTTGTGGGAGAAAAGGAAAAAAAGTGGAAAGACAGAATGCAATTGTCTATTCTTGCATGCAATTGTTAACGATTTTCCATGCCTGTAATCCTAAACAAGAATCCATGGTATCTTCTTTATAAAGAAGGCAAGACAAGGAACCAAGAAAGTTAGTTAATATCAAACAATCCCATCTGACTGGCAGCAACTTTCCAAAATTTGAGATAACTATCTTTTCCAATTTAACTTTGAGATTCTGGGGACATAAGTTAGGGCAGAGATGCACAACATGAGACCCTCAAGATGTTGCTCAAGATCTCTTAAAATCTCTAATGATACATCAAGCTGGTTGAGAAGTTACATTTCAGCAATATCTAGAGAACTGCATGCTATATATTTTATATATTTTGCAAGTGTTCTTCTCAATACGACTAGCTTGCCTTCTGAGATGTTCATAGACTCAATGACTCAATTTTAGTCCTACTGTTTTAAAAAAACATTTTTCTGCTAAAAATAAATAAATCATTATGACATTATTTCAAATTAATTACCTCTACAGTATTTGTTTGTTCCATATACACTGGTAGTGGAACTTTGTTACAAATATTTTCATTTGTGAATCTGGGAAGTTATATGAGCATAAAGCCTACACATAGATCATGTTCTTGAGCACAGTTCAATATTTCATGTAATGAGAAATCATGATTTTCAGTCACTTAATTCCAGTATTATGCACATTCTGTATCCACAGTGCAAAACATGAAAATCTATTTCTCAATATACATTCATACTCCATAAAAATTACACTGTTTCCTGAAAGGATGTGATAATGGATGCTATTGTGAATTTTTGAGAGGAAAAGCCCAGCAAGAAGAGCAAAATTGAAAAATAAAAAAGTTCTCAAAGGAGTTCTATGCAGAAAAAAATGTGCAGTGTGCAAAGCAATAAAAATTGTAGTTGTCTGTTGATTTCTGAGGTAAACTGAACCATAGATTTTTCCTGTAAAATCAATTAGATCACTAAGGGTTCAGTTTTCTCTCAGAAATTGGACAGAAACCAGAAATATTGAATCTTATCATCATTTTAGGATTTTCCCACTATCTCACTCTAAAAAAACAAAACAAATATTGGAGGGGAGGGGATACATTATAGTCTGTCAAGAAACTTTTTCTGTTCCTGGAAATCTGTCCTTCCAATTCCAGAAGCAAGGGGCTGTATTAGATTTATATAAAATTTTTACACAGTAAGATAAATACTACAAAATACATCCATTCGCTTAGCATTAACTTGCTTAGTTTTGTACAGTGCTTTTTTCTAAAAAAAAAAAAAAAAAAGGTGCTGGAACTCACACACGTCATACAACCCGCCTTGCCTACCCTACAAGGTTCCATCCAAAAAAGGTGCCGGAACTCCGTTTTGGGCGTTCTGTGAGAAAAAAAAAGCCCTGGTTTTGTTGTATAAATGGGTGGATTAACCTGTTTTACAAATCGAGCCCATTTTGTTACGGTTCCATGTACTCTGTGGATATATAAAGACGTAAATTCAACAAGCCGCTTAAGCTGAAAACTGAAAGAAAACCATAAAAATGCAAGATACGTTTTGGGCTTCCTTGATGGCCCTTTTCGCTTTTCCTCCTCTTGCAGAAATACCGACAAACAAAAAAGAGAGAGACTAATCATCGGCACCCACTTCCCTAGGACTGCTGCGCTGGTCATCGATAACAAACTAATCCCCTCCCACACTCCCAATTTTCCCTTTCCCGATCTTAAAAACCCTCCTCTGCTTCTAGCCTCTAACAGAAAAAGATTCCTGGAAAAAAGAAATATAATTCACCTGTAACGTTTCTGGACGTCGGTAAACACTCACAGCGTTTCTATAGCCCCGCCATTTTAGCCAACCTCATTCCGATCCCAATAACCCCTTGCCAGGAAGCATGATGGGAAAGCGAGTCCATCCAGTCTAATGATCTACTCTTCATGCACTGGGTTGAAACTACAACTGCTAAGAGGCCTCACGAGAAAGGTTAACGTTCCAGCATGCACCGCACCAAATCAGCTTCTGAAGTTTGGAGAACTACAGTTCCCAGAAGGCCTATGTACGAGAAAGGAGGAAGAGGCGCGTCGTAGGGCGATATGTTGTTCTGCGCAGAGGCTTGAGCTTTTGCTCACTTTTTTTTGGCCTCGTGCTGGATGTGGCGTTTCCGCATGGGAACAGATGAGGGTGATGAGCGTTGACTGGACGGATGTAGGGCTGGACGACCGCAATGCGTTATAGAAGATTTTTTTCTAGTGAATTTCCAGATTTTTGCAGATCAGCTTTGGTAGTCCTAGTTGAATAGGTCACCAAAAAGAAAACAGCTCAACTAGCATGGATATGCCCATTTACGTTACATTTGTACATTTTCTGTCCCTTGGGGAACAATAGTAACGGCTGAGAACGCCACTAAATACTGTGGGAAGAATCCAGAGAAAGATATTTTGGGGAATATTAAAAAGGCAAAATATATTTCCCCATAGGAATAATGGAGAACTTTAAAAAAAAAAAAAGACAGAAACCAGCCCCAGCACCTCTCCCCCAAACAGTAAACTCAGCAGAGGCCAGTTTTTAGAAATGCAAATTCAATAATATTTTCAGAAAGCCTTCCAGCTAGAAACTGAAGAAATTAGGAAGACAAAGACAACTAAAATCTACATACCCCCACCCAAATTCTAAGGACAGGAAACAATAGGATTAACCCACCAATACAAAAAGGGCACACTCAGACCCAAATTAAAGTATATGACACAGGAAATACAAAGCCTCAAGCAGGAAGAACTCCAAAGAAAAGCTTAAGAAAAAAACCCCACCATGCCCAGCTATATATAGTCAGCTTTCCCAGAGCTATCTTTCTGTCTGGCTCTACTCTTTAATAAACTACAATCTTCTTTCTAAAGCAGTCTCCATTTTGTTTATTCCCAGCTTGGACTGGACCCTGATGAAGATTTTTCTTTCAACAACACATAAAATGAAAAATAGTTTAAGCTATGTAGAAGTTTGATCCTTATCTGCTTTGTTTACCAATCAACTCAGCTTTTCTTACTTTTGGCCAACAAAGTAGCATGTAGTTATCTCACAGCATTAATATTTCAACTTCCTCTTTTAATTCCAGCTCTCCTATCTTTCTGTCATTCCTTATATTGGTTGTATACATAGAAATGGAACAATAGGTCCCCTTATCTCACTGTGTTTCTTGTTCTAAACCCCTTTGTTTCTCCAAACTCATTTTTTAAAAGAAACCTCCATTGCAAAGGTTCTTCAAAAGAATGATCTGGTTTAGGCACACCCATTAGCTTTACAGTAATATATTCTAAATTCTGGTGTAATGATTTGAGCAATTTCTTGTCTGGTTTCTTGTATATACATGCACCAATATTTTCAACTCTCTGAGCGTCACAGTTTTGTTTCATGTTTCTTGATAAGGTCAGCTAGCACTTTATCTACCACTTCCCCAAGCTCTTATTTCATCTGTATCTAGGTAGTTTTCTATTTGATAGCTATAAGCTACCTATTATAAGTATCCAGTGGAATCTTCTGCTGAGCATATTCTTTCTCTGTAAATGAACTTATGTTGTAAATACTATGTGAACTCTTTTTCCTTCTCATTTAAGCAAAACCTCGATATAAAACAGTATATTTGCTCTAAAATAACAGGCACCATTTCTGCATTTTATTCTCTATGCCATTTCTCTTATTCCAAAGTCCTTGTGCACCTGTTCTTACTAAATGTGTTCTAAAACAGACCTATTGGCAGAGTGGAAAAATAAACTTATAAGATTAAGAGAAATATCTTCACATAACATTGAATTTGATCCTTTTCTGAGAGAAAATTTCTGATTTATAGCTTCCTTGACTGTTCATTAATCACACTGGCATTTCCTGAGATTTGTCTTCATGGTTCCTAATGCAATGTATGAATTCCAGTTTCTTCTATTCCTCTTATTTTAAATGATTACATCATCATCATCATTATTATTAATCTTGTATAAAAAACTGGTTTTCTTGATTTACTTTTACAACTCTTTTGACTAAAGATTTGAAGATTTCTTTTTTTGAAAATTAAATGCACATGCTAAATTCCTTTCTTTTGAAAATTAAAGGGAAGCACTAGACTTTCCTAACTATTTGCCAGATTATATCAGAATAATTCTGATTAACAGTATGTGATTGACCAAAAATTCTGAAAAGTTTAGTTCCTACACATTTAGGAACTATACACAATATACCTTATTGTCCATCAAAGTATATAGTCCTTGACTTATGACCTTTCATTTAATGATGGTCCACAGTTTCAATGCCTTGGAAAAAGTTATGATCTGTCCTTGCACTTACAACCATTACACCAAACTTGAGGTCACCTGGTCACAATTTGGGTGCTTGGTAACTGGCTTGCATTTACAACCAGTTTTGGCATCCCATGATCATGTGATCATAATCTGCAACTTTCCCAGTCAGCTTCTGACAGGTAGCATCAATTGGGGAAGCTGGATTCACTTAACATCCATGGGATCTTAGCCACATGATTTGCTTAATGTCCATGATAAAAATGGTTGTAAAACCAGATCCAGTCATGTTGGATACACTGTATCACTGAACTGCATTGCGTAGCAACCAAAATTCCAATCCCAATTGTTATAAATCGAGGATTACTTGTAATCATCTAATGTTATGCAATTAGCCCTGACTAACAGCAGGGAACAAAATCTCATCAAGGGAAGATCTTTTTCAGTCCCATTAATTATTGTCTTAAACTAGAAGAAGTCAGAGGCTACATCTTCTGAACATTAACTAGTACTCTGCTGCTAAATATTGTTTGGATCAGTGAAAAGACAATTTTTATCTTTTAAGAAATTACAACTGATATTAAACTACTTTACATCTCTGCTTGATCTAAGAAACGTGAGTCACACACTGCAAGCCATAATGTGCTTTGCCTCTTGCCACCTATTTTGCATATTTGTTGTATCCCTGATAACGGACAGCAGGCTATTCTCTTACTAGTGCAGAGTTACAATATTGCGCAAGTGTTTTTCAGAAATAGCTAGTGACTCAATTTTCATGGGAGAAAGTGAAGAAGTGAATTTTATTTAATAAAAATTAAGTAATGAAAATCATGTATCCTCCATCCCTATGTTTAAACTCACGGCTTTTTAAAAGGATGTCAAGGATGGATCTCACCACCTTCCCCAGTGAGTGCTGGAGGAAATAAAATCCTTATCTTGTTTTCCATAACCCTAGTCAAGCTTATACATTTACACTGCCACATTCAGGTTATTCCTTGTACTAGCCACAAAATTGTTTTAGATGCCTGTTGTTTCTCTGTGTTCCAACAAAACATGCTAGAGCATCCGTTGTCTGGAAATTAGGATCTCTCCAATTTTGCTGGCCACCTGGGCTGGAATAAGAAACTTTGCTGCCTGAAGCAAAAGTCAAGCAAATAGGCTGGTATCAAGACAGAATCCTCTTTATGTCCAATAGGAGCAAACTAACTTAGGAGATGAAAAGCAGGTCATATAAATCAGATGCATCACCTTCTTGCTACTCCCTATGTTCAAAAATCCAGCTGATCTACTAATTAATCTAGCACAGTTCATAACATGGGACTGTTTGATGAATTTAACTCAGGGTAAAGTTACACCCATGGAAACTGGTATGATCAGTCTTTTTTCCCACAATCCACTTGTGTACATCCATTTTGTGAACTAAACTAAATCCACATGAACGTTTCATAGGGAGGATGTTATTGCAGGCACCTGCTTACTCAGGGGATAAAGTCCAGGATGCTTTGTGTTAACGCCTAGCTGCAGTGTAGTATAGGACAAGCCAGCAAAGGTGTAGATCAGGGATGTTAAGCTGCCAGCCCGTGGGACGGATGTGTCACTAGGAAACCACGTCCACCCCATTGCCGGCAATGGAGAAAAAGCTCTGATATGTTGCGCGATGTCATGAGTTTGACATGTCTGGTATAGATGATTAGGACCTTGGATCTGAGGCAAGATGAAGTCTTCAGACTTTTTTTTGGGTCATCTTTAATTCCCTCTTAGAGGTAAGAATATGTTCCATTCCTACCCAAGAAAATACTTGTCATTGTCACTGATAGAATTTTAGATTTTTTTCTTTCCAATGAAAGAATTGTGTCAGCTTCCTGGAAAATGTCTCAAAGCTTTTACAAAATGAGGATGTATATTAAATACAATATATTCTGATTTCAAATAAAATATACTTTTATTTACCAAGCACAACTCTGCAACAGCAAGAAGATAATTCAAATGTAATTCAGATGTGGTGCTGTGTCCCAACAGCAGATTAATTGTGCTGCAGAAAGAAAAATATATATTCAGCTTGTAAGTACGATGGAAGCCAGGGGAATTAATAGGTTTAAACTCCAGCTTCTAAAAATGTAATAAAGGTGGCTACATTTTATTACTGTCTGCAAGAAGGCTAAAATAAACCCACTATTTTATTGGGCATGGTAGAATTCAGATTCTCCTAGTCACCCTGTCTATTTTCTCAAAACTTACAGTTACAATATGGCACAACCATACAGTAATACAAAGGTTACAAAATACAGGTGAGAAAAAATAGCTGCCTTCAAAGGCTAGCTTGAGGGAAGGTGACTACTAGTGATTTCGACAGTAGGAGCATCATTCAACTCACTTAGGCTTCTGTGATCTAATGGCTTTTCTAGATGTGCTAGGACTGCAGAATTACCTTTGGTTCTACTATTTTAAAATACTCAGCTGGTTGGAAAAACCAGGAACAGGTTCTCAGGTTCAAAGTATTTCAAAGTACTTGTTCTTCTATATTGCATTTTGCAAACAAAGTCAATGTAATAAGAGAAGCAGAATTCAAGGCTTGGTCTTTTAGTTGCATAGCTTTTAGCAATATTAAATAGATTTTATTTATCAAGCAGATTCTTTAGCTGGGCCAGCCTTCCTCAACTTGAGCAACCTTTAGTTGAATGGATTTTGAGTACTGCTATTTCCAGCCAACCCAGGCATTGCTGAGAGTTCTAGGATCTGAAGTTCAGACGTCTAGAAGGTAGTAGATGGGGGAAGACTAATGAATTCAAAGATCACTAGAAAACATGCACCTTCTAGTATTATTGTTGCCTGGAACTGCTATAACCTAAGCCTACAAGTGATGCTCAAAAGGTAACCTTTTTATAGTGCCCTCGCATATGGAGATCTGAGGTTCTCAATGTGTAACTGCAGTTTGTCTGCCTGAACCACCTTATATTAGCTAGGAAAGGGATCTTCTAATGAAGGAGTATGCTCTTGCCACCAACATTCAACTATATTTTTGACCTCTTCTGAACTTGTCTGGGTGAGCTAGGATTAGAATTCCAGATTTACAAGTTAGCCCAGTGCTCTCAATTTTGGCAATTTTAAGGTCTGTAGACCTTCACTCCTCAAATCCTCCACCACCTTGCTGGCTGGAAAATTCTGGGGTCTGAATTGCACACTTCATAAAGTTGTCATGGTTGAGAAACACTGGGCTGGATTCAAAAATTTAAAAAGTATCCTGGAAGGCATTGGCAATCTATCATGTAATTGTCATGGGAACTGCATGGCCATGTCATAAATTGAGCATAATTCAGCAAGTTTACATAAGCTTTATATATGCATTCAAGTTAGGAGACACCTTCAGTCTAGCAATAACATCTTCTGCCAAGTTTGATCTGCTTAATAACAGCAAAGCACTTGTCCTACTGTCAGGGGCACTTTCTATTTGAGCAGGGAATCACTGAAATCGGACAGATTTGGCCAACAGACTTTGCACCTACTACAATGAAGAAATGTGTAACATCTTTGTGAAAATGACCTCATCAAACTGTAAAGTTAAAAAACCCCAACAACACTGCTCTTCTGTGACACATTCATTTCTACCCTTTTCAGTCTGCAGGTATGTTGCAAAACGTTTCTAATGGATAATGAAGCTTAACCATTGGCAGATGAGTATCAGGCATCAGCAGCTGGTTTTAAACAAAAGAAAAATAATAAGAATCCATGAGAGAGAGAGAGAGAGAGAGAGAGAGAGAGAGGGAAAGACCTGGTCCCACATCCAAATAAGCAACCATTTTAGATCAGCTCGCCAAGGAGAACCACAGGTAGTCCTCAAAGGCAGTGCTATTCTCTTTCTGTTGCTTTCTACTTTCCCAGGGCTAAGTAATCTTTCCATTCCTCTTCCCTGCTTCCTTTCCAAGGCCAGAGCTAAATTCCCCTGAAAGCTACATAAGCTTTTCAATTACAGGTAGTCTCCGACTTACAACAGTTCATTTTGTGACCATTCAAAGTTACAACGGCACTGGAAAAAGTGACTTATGAACATTTTTCACACTTCCAATCATTGCAGCATCCTCGTGGTCATGTGATCAAAACTCAGACCCTTGGCAGTTGACTCATATTTATGACCAGCTGCAGTGTCCTGAAGACGTGATCCCCTTTTGCAACCTTCTGATGAGCCAAGTCAATGGGGAGGCCAGATTTGCTTAACAACCGCAGTACTAATTTAACAATTGCAGTGATTCACTTAACAACTCTGGCAAGAAAGGTTATAAATTGGGGCAAAGCTCATTTAACAAATGTCTCATTTAGCAACATAAATTTTGGGTTCAATGGTGGTCGTAAGTTGAGGACTACCTATACTTGTCAAACAAAAGTGGCCTCTTCCATGACAATTCCATTCAGGATTGTCTTGGGGAAATATAGAGGTGTGTGTGTGTGTGTGTGCTAGATATGTTCTGAACTCAACAAAATAAAATCTAAATAAATATATAATTAGTAGATAGGCTGATATGATAGAAGCAGCAATGTGTTTTTTCCAGAACCAAAGGATTTGTCCTACTGTGGTGGTTGTATCAATTTGACATTTTAAAGTCTTCAGATTCCATGGGGCCCTTAGCATTCACAGGATCACTGCAACCAGAAACATAATTCAGATGCTACTGGATAAAGGCTCAGTTTGTCCATTAAAACCAGGCCACAACCAGCCCACAAGAGCTACTGGGGCAGTTTATGATCACCATACTGAAAGGACATGCAGTTTAAATTAAAGATCACTATTTAAAGTCACGGACCTTCAGCATAGCAGCGTTTGCAGAATAGATCTCCAAATCTAATCCTGGCCTGGGAATACAAGGCTGAAATAAAAAGCTTGTTTCAGGAACCAAAACAAAGCAGCCTCCCAAAAGCTATTAATTGTAACTGTCAGCATCCTCTGTTGGCCAAAAAGACTAGGATTGATGGGTATTGGAATTTAATTAAAAGTTATATGTATTGCCTATCCTAGATCCAGCTGATTTCCTTTTCTTTGATTGACTAAAAGGTAGCTCCCAGAGTTTCTTGCTAGAGTCATCTGGAAATGCTAAAGATTACTTTAAGACTTTGACCCAAAGCTAGAAGAGGAACCAACCCCTCTGCCTTTGGAGATGAGGGAACGGAATCAAATTTGAAGTTTTGTAAAATAGTTTTGTCTTTGTTCCTTCTATCATGGGGAGAGCAGAAGAGAGGTGGTGACAAAGAAGAAAGCCCTTTGAATAAGACCGTTAATCTGTATTATATTTTCATTAATAAATAGGTTCTCTTTTAATAACACTGAACATTTCACAGACTCCCCCGCCCCCCCATTTTCTTTCTTTCAACACACATAAGATCAATAGAAGGTCATTCTCTCCTCCCACCCCTAGCTTTATCTCCACAAGGAAGGGTGCCTGGGCACCTAGATACAGAGAGGGATTCATGTGTTGGCATAGAGGGAGAAAGGAGAGACGCTTGCACTTAGTCCGCATCAGACAGGCAAATGACAAGCAGCAGATGGATGTGATAACCTAGGGCCAAAGGAAGATATTAACTGTGCATCGGCGAGGCAGGATAATGGCGGTGGCGATTCTTTTTCAGTTCCTTCTAATATGCACAATAGTCCCCAGAGCTGCTACGGTCCAAGATGTTGCTGTGCCAAGCCCCAAGACCTTGCAGAGCAGGCACGTCTTGCGCCAATCTTCATTCAAGCAGTCCAGCCACGTTTTGCTGTTTCCCTCTCCTCCCTGGACAGCAGGTCTGCTCAAAATGGGAAGAGAGGGAAACTGGATCTTTCTTTAACTTTCCAGCTCTGGCTTGGAAAAGGCAATCCATTCTCTGAATCCCACCCTGGAGGGGCCACCTGGAGGCCCAGAGTCCACAGCGGTTCCATCACCACCCTCTGCAGCCGGCCCTTCACATGACGGAACAACTTTTTGCTTTCTCCTTCTTAAAAGTGGAAGAAATGAGCTCTGATCGGCTGGGAAGATGGAGAAGTCTCTTGGGAAAACTTCGGGCAGGGCTCTTGGGGGGCCCTGGGAGGCCAGACTTGGTGAGGCAGAGGGATGCCACTGTCCGGAAGATGCTGTGGACGCTCTTCTCTGATGTGAAGGCAGAGCATTCTAGGTAACTTTCTGCTCCCAGCTGCTTGGCTACAGAACAACCCTGGAAAGGAAAGGAGGCATTAGGACTCCCTTTAGGGCTGTTGCAGAATATCCATCGGTCTCACAGTAGGGTCTTCAGGGGCCGTAAACCAATAAGGGGTCCCCATGAGGACTTTTATCCTCATCCTTCTGGAGCTGACCAAGTAAAATGACCTTTTGCTTTCTATGAAAGAGCATTTTTCTCACTCGATCGGGGGTCTTTTAAAGTTCCTTTCACAAATAAGAGAACAGTAGCCACAAATGCTGATGCAATGCAGTTTAGAATAGAAATCTAGGGTCCTCTAGGATTTTAGACTCCAGTTCTCAGAATAGCAATAGCACTTAGATTTATAGACCTCTTCACAGTGCTTTACAGTCCTCTCTAAGCAGTTTGCAGAATCAGCATATTACCCCCAACAATCTGGATCCTCATTTTACCGACCTCAGAAGGACAGAAGGCTGAGTCAACCTTGAGCCAGCCAGTGAGCAGAATTAACCTGCAATACTGCATTCTAACTGCTGCCCTGCCATGGCTCTTAGTTTTCAGTTTTCCTGATTAATTTTAGTAAAACTACCGGTCCAAAACCATTTAGAGGAGGGGTAGGCAACCTTGGCTCTTTTCTGACTTGTGGACTTCAACTCCCAGAATTCCCGAGCCAGCATGGCTCAGCTTGGAAACCTCTCACTTTCCCCTCAGCGTGGCTGGCTCAGGAATTCTGGGAGTTGAAGTCCACGAGACATAAAAGAGCCAAGGTTGCCTACCCCTGATTTAGAGTATAACTATGTTTCTACCTCTGGCCTAGAATCATCATCACTGGACTAATTTTATGGATTTAGATTTTACATGGCAACCCATCTCAAGTATGTGACTTTGACAACAGTGTGTTTGCAGGAATTGCGATCCAGCAAAGGTCTTATATTCTTATTCATTCCAGGCAGTTTCAACAACACAGCAATACTTGAAGGTGAAAGATGACAAGCTCATTAGCATATGCAAATCTAAGTCTAGCATTCCTGATACTATTTTAATCATCTTAGGAAAAATAAAAAAAGGTAAACTAGAGCAAGTTTGAAAATGAGGAAGCCTGATACTCCAGGAAGGGTCTGGGTTGAAAGAATGAATTGCAATAGATATCCAGACCCAGCATCATGCATTTCCTCACCTGTTCATAAGAGACTGGGGCTTGCTTTTGGTGGGACAACTCCATCAGGGTGCTGAAGTCGGTACGCAGGTCTATCTTGCATCCTATCAGCAGCACACGGGTATTGTGACAATAGTCCAAGATTTCAGTCTTCCACTGGAAAGAAAAAGCACAGTGAAGAAATGTTAAAGTCATTTAATACAAGTCTTAAAAGCACATCTTGGTAGAGAAACTGCCCTACTTTGTCATTGCAATGTCCTTCTATCCAAGCCCAGTTTTTAAAAAATACATCATAAAGCAAAGTAATTAAACCATTGGGTGCCGCCATTTTCCTTTTTGCCACAGTGAATGCAGGCTTTTTAAAATATCAAATGTCCTATGTGAAATATTAAGATCTTTTCAAATATACACAGAAGAACTCACTATAGCTTCCTTGATCTCAACAGTTCTAATTCTGAACTGAGTTGCACTGAACACAAACCCATTCTTCTAAAATTAGGGAAAGAAACTTACGGGGTGACATTTCTTACAAATGTAGCATTGAAAGTACCTAATAGGAAAACCTCAGAGTCTGAAACTTAGTTGTGATATTGTTTGCAGTGAGGCACATTAAAAAAAAAAAGTGTAGAATTTTCTTCTCAAAATATGATAAGCAGTTCTTCCTGCAATCCTTTTAGAGGCCTACATACAAGTTCCAGAGTATTCAAAATGCTTGCTACCACAATGAAATTTATTCTGTGGCAAAAAAGCAAAATGGTGCCATACAAAGTGAGCACTTATATGAACTGTATGTAAAACTACTGTATGTAAATTACATTTAAAGTAGGGTTTTAAAAACTGGAGCTACTTCTTTGTCCTGGTCCGCCCTACATTTGGCGATGTAGCTTCTCCTCCTCAGCGCCTCAAAGTCACTAATATTTCCCTTACCTTCTTCATTGCACTATCCATGGTCTCGGGGCGACTAACATCAAAGCAGAGCAGGACAGCATCTGAGTCACTGTAGCATAGGGGGCGCACGTTGTCATAGTATGGGGATCCTATGAGAAGCAGCAAGAAAAGCCATGAAGCGACTCAACACATCCTCTCTTCCCCTTTGCCAATATCGTTGAGAAAAAAAGTTGCTTGCTCTAATGCCAGATGATAGAACTGCCCAATGCACTGCCAGGTTTTGTGCTTTTAACAGCCTCCCCCCCCCCCCCAAAGGACTAACATGAAAAAGTAACAGGAACCAAATCTGCAGGGCTTTGCTTACTCATTCCCATCCTTAATATCCTCAGGAAATAGTTTGACCATGTTTTACATAACAAAGGCCATATCCTCTTTTCGCACCTGTCATGTAAGCAATACTGAATGTGAAAAAGGGGTACAGGCTTTTCCATTTATAGAGATTTATGAGGAGGGTATGCAGCTTATGGGGAAGAATGGAGTTGCCTAGTAACATTTCTCATTAAACATGGAGAAAAATTGAGTTGTGCGTGTTCCAGGCATGCCATAGAATGGACTACGGCAATGTATTATTGGATGGCTGCAAAATGGGGGAGATGAGATGAATAATATACACAGGCTATTCTCTCTCCCCCCCCCCCAGGAACCGCAGCATCCAAAATGTTTCTGCAGCCCAGACACTTCGTGCCTAGAATAGCAATCAGCCCCTGGTTCCCTGCACCAGCACGGTCACCATGGCAACAAGGGGATCCAAATAGCCAGGGTCCCCCACTTACAGTCCCCTTCAAAAGAGGGGATGATGCCCATTCCTAGTTGCTAGGAGAACTCTTTACTTGGCACCTCCTCCACCACCCGTAGAATACTTTCAAGAGCCCCTTATTGTAAAGGATTGCTTTCCCCTCTTGATTTCTCTTGCAGAATCCCCTGAACCCCCTTGCCCCAGGATTCTTCCTCAATGTGTCTAAACAATGGGCAAATCAACTTCCCCCCTCCCAAATTCCAGGAGAGAAGAAATGAAGGGATGAAGAAAATAGATGGGAGGGGGCTCAGCAGCCTTCACAAGATTTATCAGGACTGGGGAAAAAGCAGGTGTGAGCGGTAGAAGGGGTGGGACTGCTGCATTTTTACTTAAAGCCTGGGATACCAGAGCATCTTATTTAAGGAGCTAGAGAAAGTCTCTAGCCAAGGTTTGAAATCTCAAAATAAATGTTTAGAGCCACTTCCCTGGGATATTTGGTCAAGACGCAAGCCCTACAAATCTTACTCTTACCAATCTCTTCTAGTTCCCCATCACCCCCACACCCCAATACAAATCCTTAAGGAGACAGATTTGTTTCTGCATATATATGCAAAAATGTCTCCTTCCATTCCAAGATTGCAACACTACAATGTGCAAAACGCATTCTTTCTTTGTGCTAAAGCTTTGAAATACACATATACATTCTGACTTGCCTCAAAACTACCTACAGCCAGGCCATGTATTGTTCCTTCCTAGTTATGACAGAAAGTATCTTCTACCTGCAGTATAGTCTCCATGACCTCAAAACTAAATAGACTATAATGTCTTCTACCTCCCCTACCTCCATTGGAATCAGACAAAGATCTCCTTCTCATTTCATTCACCAAGCAGTATCCATAGCAAATGATTTTCAGTATTGATATCTCTTGGCCAGCTAACAGGTTCTACACAAGCTAGTCATTCAGTTAGACCACTCCATTGCAGCATGAGGAGAGGATGTTGGTTGGTCCAGAGCAGCAGCCAAGCACAGAAGGAAAGAGATGCCTTACCAGATGTGTCCCACAGACTGAGCTCCACCCGTTGCTCCTCCGTTTCCAGGCATGCTGTGTAGTTCTCAAAAACTGTGGGCACGTAGGTCTAGAATAAAGGGAAGATAGAGAAGAGTCACCAGGTGAACTCAACGGTGTTTATATTGCATGTGTGTTTGTTGGAATAAGGAGGGGGCTTTGCCAAAATGGCTTTCCTAGACCCAAAAGGGAATACGTGAGCAGAAATGGAGATGGGGGTCAGCTCCTGCGCAGGACTTGCACACAACCCGAAATCATAATTACCATCCAGCAGCAGCAGAGATAATCGGTGAATAGCTCTGCAACTCAAGCCGGTTGCAAGAAAGGGAAGGAATACCCACAGGCTGAAAACATGAAATGGCAGCAGCCCGCAACCGCCCCGAAAGCAACAGAGACCCTTCGCGCTTAAAGTACTCCAGGAAAGCTACAAGGGGCGCGAAATCTGCGCAGAGGCGGAAAGCGATGCTTTGCAACAGACCGGGGTTAGGTAAGACCAGAGCCCCAGAGAAGGGCTAGAAGCCACGTGATGCCATCTGAGCGAAGTTGATCTCCTGGCCGGAGGGAAAGCCGCATGGCAAGAAGCCCCTCCGAGGTATCCCGCAGGAGGATCGGATCCAATTCCCCGTGAAACCAGGAGAGAGGCAAATGAGAGCGCGGATGCCAAAGCCGCTGGGAAGCGCAAGAGGACTCTTTCGCCCTCCCGCAATCGCAGAGGAGCCCGGCTTTTCCTCTTACCTCCGGGTAGCAGTCTTTGGCCAGCACCTGAAGCATGGCCGTCTTGCCGCAATGTACATCCCCCACCAGAACCAGCTTGCACCGGGCCACTACTGGCTGAGGAGTCCTTCTCTCCCTCATGGCGATGATAAACGAAGCGGGTGAAGCAGCTACAACACCAGCGCTCGCGACTTGCAGCAAAATCCCAGCGTCCCCACCCGCCGGCTCAATTAATACAGCGGGCGGGCAGAGAGTCCCTATACGGAAGGTGGGCAGCCAATGAAACGTAGAGTTGGGCACCGATCAGCCAATCAGAAGAAGCTGGCCCAATGACCAGCAATTCGAGGGGGAAGCTGAGTCAGAATATTTTTTCCCCACCTCCGTTCTTACCTGGTCCGGTCATCTTTGCCAAGGGAGTCAATAATCAGCTAAGAGGCGACTTATCACTGATAAGGGCTTCCCCGTGTTTGTCTTTCCATAGAATACGCAGAATTATAGCCGCCCCTCCGCCCGTGACAATAGGTCGATTCTTTCAATAAAGCAATGGGTGACTAAGACTTCTTCCCGCTCCCTCCCGGCCTCGGCAGCAGGAGGAAGAGCCTTGGCAAACCTTTCAGAAACACCTGGACGGAATACAGGCTCTTCGGCGTACTCTTGAGAGCCTGCCCTCGTGTTTTCGCTTGATGTATTTCTAAAGAACGCAGGGTGGGGGTATTCCAGACCAAACACAGTCCATTCGGATGGTCTGCAACACGTGGCCCCTAAGTAAGGTAAGGCATGGGAGGAGGACCACCTGCCCTGTTTTGGGGGTCACCGAAGGCTGCCGTGAGCATACACTGCCCCCCTACTTTTTTCATGGGCGTCTGACTAGTCAGGACTCTCCCACTCTGCCAAAAGTGATTCCCGGCTCCCAACTTATTTTGCAAACTAGACCAGATCTGGCAGCAGATCTCCAAGTTATTAGGGCTGGGAAGGATGGCAAGGTAATTTTGCTGGGGGCGTGGGGAGAGCAGCTCTTTGGGCACCAAGTCTCCTATCCAGAGATCTTCCACAGGTGGAGAACTGTTGGGGGAAGGGAAGTGGGAGGGAAGCAGTTTGTTAGTGCCACCCTCCAGGGTGCAATTGCTTCCTGTTCCAAAGGTTTGGGTGAGGCCATTTTTTGACATGTGTCCACTGAGGACAGCTGAATATATGTTTCACTATGTGTTCAATGCTCTTCAATTCAACTGACACTCCAAATACATGCTTTTCCTCTATCCTTCCCCTCTCTTGCACACCCTGGCAAGAGGAAATAAGGTCTCCTTCTCTCTCCTTGCTGCTCATAGCTGACAGAGAAAGGGGTATGTGAGAGAGATGCATCAAAGATAAGATCCTTTGGTGCCAGTTCTCTGATCCTACAGAGCAGTGTTTCAAATAGGGAATTCTGGGACTTTGTATTGTAAGTGTGATAAAAAACAAGCAGTTTGGCACAAATTAAGCTGTAGAATTTCAGATCCTTTTTTATTACTGAGACATCTGAGTTTCAGTTAGTCTGCAGATTATGTGTATTAACACCAAATTGTAGTCTCTTCTCGTGTACTGGAGATCAAATGACATTTTTGCTTTTGTATTCTCAGGTTTGACAATGTCTTGATTCTTGATTCACATTTTGTTGTTTTGCTTTCATAATACTCCCATAATTATTAGCTGAGAGTTGCTGGTAACCTGAAGTACATTATTGAATTTAATTCAGGCCTCTTAAACCTAAATGCAACAAGTTCACTGCAACAAGCAAGTCAAAATCTGAGCAGATTGTGAAAAAGGTGCTTGGATCAAATTGCACATTAGAAACCAAGATATACTGCTTGCTTCTTAAAGTTGAATCATAGGCACAGGCCACGTTGCACAGTGCTGACCTAATCCAGTGATAAACCAGCAGCCTCTGACTTATTATGGCCAGGGAGAACTGTCTGAGAATAATATCCCACTTCCAGAGAATTGTATCCCCACACACAGTGGGTGTCCATGCACATCCTGTCAACAATAAGGACTATGGGTAAAAGCTGTGCATTTACTAAAGCTAAGAACTGCAGTTCTCCTTCAGTTCCCCAAGTTGGATAGCAAGTGTGTATCCTGTTTCATTATGAACCACATAATAGCCTGGCCTTCCTCTTCATCCATGTGAATGCTACTAATGTGTGGAGAACATGAATTCTTCCAAAAATCTGCCATAACCTTCTGTATTAGGATGTAGCTGAAAGTCAAATATGTATAAGAGACAGCTCATGGCTTTGTTACCTAGTTGAAAGCAAAGAGTAGGAGGTACTCAACATTCTCTGAGGAAGCAAGGTAAACTAGTAGGCAATAGCAGTAATAAATAACATGGTTCAATATTACCTTGGTTTCTGGACTCTAATCCTCTGCTAATGCTGAAATTTGAGTAGACAATCCTTGCACTTCAATGAGATTTCTGCTATTAATCTCTTTGGGAACAAATTTTGGTTGTGTACTGCCAGCAAGTCCATGAGAGAATTCATGGTGACTGTAATATTACTCAACTAGCATTTATTTTTCCTTGAGATGAAATCTGTCATGAACTCTACTTTCTAAGTTGTTCTAAATTGTTCCAATAACTGGATAAGGGGTTGTCAGTGGGGACTTCGTGTGCCAGTGTAGTTTTCTGCTGACTGCAAGGTAATAGATGCTAGTTCAGCTCAAGAGTGGGGGAAAGTTTTTTGTTTCAAATGACTGCTGTCTTTCTTCCTAGATACTGTGTAACAAAGCCTACAGCTTGTAATGTCTATGGTAGTATCAAAATAATAGGGAAAAGAATACTTGAATACCAGTGCAGTGAGGTTAGCAGCTTCAGCCTGTCTCATTCATGGACTGGGGATGAGATAAAGGGAACTTCATGGGGAATGGCAGAGGAAAGATATGGCTTCAGCATGGCTGTGTCATAATTATGTGTAAGGGGGAAAGGCGTAAAGGTTGATGTTGGAGGATGGAATTCAGTGAGTCTAAATAGGAATCTACTGGCCAATCTCTGCTTTAAAAATATAGGGGTAATCCTCGACTTACAACCACAATTGAACCCAACATTTGTTTTGGGTTCAATTTTGTTGTTGTTTCAAATTTGTTATTAAGTGAGATATTAAGTGAGTTTTGCCTCATTTTACGACCTTTCTTGTTCAGTGAATCACTGCAGTTATTAAGTTAGTAACACGGTTGTTAAGTGAATTTGGCTTCCCTATTGACTTTGCTTGTCAGAAGGTCTCAAAAGGAGGTCACATCATCCCAGGACGCTGTGACCATCATAAATGTGAGTCAATGGTCAAGTGTCTGAATTTTGATCATGTGACCATGGTCTACAATGGTCCTAAGTGTGCAAACGGTCATAAGTCACTTTTTTTCACTGACGTTGTACTGAACTGTACTCAACGGTCACTAAAAGAGCTGTTGTAAGTCGAGGACTACCTGTACAAAAGAAATAAGGCAAAGAGGAATAATTGTAATGGTTACTAAGCCCTGGCTGCCAGTTGCTTAACATTAGTTTTGATTTAAAATTATAGCTTGCTTTTTCTGTTCTCCAAGCAGACACAGTTAGACATGAATAAAATATAGCAGGATGGGAGTTTTAAAATAAAATCAGGAAGTGTTTCAAGTCTTTATTCAAACATGATCCAGCCACCAAAGTTTGGAGGAAACCTCAAACCTTTAATGGAATATAACAAGACGGATTTGGGAGGGGCAGAATTCAGTGGAAGGACGCACCATCGCCCTCTTTCCAGCTAACAGTGAGACAGATCCTGGCAGCCTCATTTTCTCTCTCTGCCATTTCTTCCTCTCATCCCCAACCCATATCTAATGCAACTTTTTAATTCTTCTAGTGTTAAAGCTGTCTTTTCTTCCTTAAGAAGGCAACAACCCATCTAGTTTTAACAAGAGTGTGTTCCAATGTTTCATGACCATTCTTGTCAATGCAAAGACGAATGATGTTTGGGGGAGGGAGATCAACCTAGCATGTACTGTATTGGCATCTAAGGGTGATGCTTTTATATCTCCCCATGTCTGATAAATGTTCTTAAGGGTCAGGGACAGCCTCTCACTTTTGCATGGGGGGAGTAGTTGAGACCAGTGTATTTTCATGTTATTAGTTGCTGACCTTGTTGGATCTATCCCCCAAACCAGGGCAGGATAGGAATTGGCACTGGGGCAATAACTTTATGATGATATACTGTATTTTCCGGCATATAAGACGACCCACCATATAAGACGACCCCCGACTTCGGAGATGATTTGCATGGTTAGAAAGTCGTCTTATATGCCGGAAATTACTGTATTTTCCAGCATATAAGATGACTTGGCGTATAAGACGTCCCCCGACTTCGGAGACGATTTGCATGGTTTAGAAAGTCATCTTATATGCCGAAATACGTAGTTTTCTGTCAGGGCAAAGAATGATTGGGACCACATTAACTTGGCAGGGGTAAAGGCTCTTGCTGTGGGGTTCAAGGGCAACAGAATTAACTCCAGTCAACAAGCATGACAGGAAATTCCCTGTAGTCCTTCTGAAATGATTTGGGAAGTTCCCAAAAAACGATAGCTTATAATGGAAAGTAACTTGGAATTAATAGACTTGTTTTTGCATGCATGCCTAGATCAAGGAAGTGTAAAATCTTCTGCTTTCTATTTTAAGGATTGATTCACAGCCTGCCCGTAATTAGCCATTTCAGACAATACACATCAGTTTGTAGACTTGCTGCAAGTACAGTATGTCCGAGAATTGTGAGATGAGAATTAAACAGTCTTATCCTAAAGTGTGCATAGACAGTGTAGCTTGTCAAAAACTTATATTTTGTGGCACAAGGAAGAAAGTGAGGCACTGAACTGTGAAGGTACCTTTTTAAATGCCATAGATCAGGGGTGTCAAACTTGCAACGTCATGTGATGTGTCGCGACGTATCGCGACTTTTTTTCCATTGCCGGCAATGGGGTGGGCACAGTTTTGCTATGATGCATCCAGCCTGTGGGCTGGTAGTTTGACACCCCTGCCATAGATAATTATAAATTACACTTACTTCCTGTTTTATAACATATTGGCTCCATTTTGAAAGCCAAGACTTGAAACTTGGATTCCTAGTAGTCTTCTTTTTGTAAATGGGACCAGCCCTTCTCCAGGTTGAACACATCCACAGTGACAGTCACTGGCTTCAGAACGGGGGCAGTCACTAGCGGCTTTTGGACTTGATTGTTTCCTCACGTATATCTAGAGTAGGCATGAATAGGCTTTTAATTCTTATTGAACAGCTGTGTATACTTTTTAACTTCTCCATCTTTAGTCTATGACAGGGGTAGGGAACCTTGGTTCTTTTATGACTTGTGGACTTCAACTCCCAGAATTCCTGAGTCAGTATGGCTGGTTCAGGAATTCTGAGTATTGAAGTCCACAAGGTCCATAAAAGAGGCAAGGTTCCCTACCCTTGGTCTATGTATATTTTAATAAACTAAGGGTGCAGCTGGGTGATTACAGGTAGTCCTCAACTTATGACCACAACCGCCCAAAATTTCTGTTGCTAAGCAAGACATTAGTTAAGCATGTTTTACCCCATTTTCTTGCCACGATTGTTAAATGAACCATTGCTTCTCCATTGACTTTGCTTGTCAGAAGGTTGAAAAGCTGATCCCATGACCCCAGAACACTGCAACCATCATAAATATGAGTCAGTTGCTAAGCATCTGAAGTTTGATCATGTAACCATGGGGACACTGCAACTGTCATAAGTGTAAAAAA